GAGGCCCCGCTCCTTAAGCCCTCGACTTTACAGCCTTAACCTTGTCACCCCATATGTGAAGCCTTGGGCTTCAGAGGCCGTAGGCACTCGAGCCTCTCGAGCAATGGAAGTTGCTGGCGAGCTGGTTCTGCGCTGGAGCAGTCTGGTCTGCGATGCGTGGACTGAGCTTAGTCACGACCTCACCGTCAGCGATGCTTGGCTTTTGTTAGTTCCCTGGGTCACTCTGTGAGTCATATGGGCAAAGCATCCTCTGTCAGAACCATAATGACGTCCATTGAAGCCGTACGCCTGACACTCTTTGCTTGGGAGCAGCAGCCAGGATGGACCAAACCCCGCCCCATAAGAGGGCGAGATATGATCCCTCTTCATGCTCTCTCAAACTTGAGTTTTGGCAACCGGGCGAAGATCACTGCGACAAAGGTCACAATGGTGGGAGGCGACCAACGTGCAGAATCTCTCGCCGGGACGATCAAGAAGGCCTTGCGGAGAACGAATAAGCTCGGACAGAAATGCCTGAGCAAAGATCGTGACCACGTTGATGCCCTGGCATTCTTCCACCTGAACCAAGAGCCTGGACTACAGAGTGCCATCGATGCTGTGGTTGCTTACAGAGCGTTCTGTGAAGACAGTCTCTCCCGCTGTGGCCTGGACAGACACGTCCTGGCTAGGCCTCGCACAGTGACAGGCGTGCACACGCAAAAAGAGGTTTCCCTGCCGCGCAATTGCTCGAAGCATTCCCATTTTCAAACTACGAACTCCAAAGTTCGACCTCCTGAATGCACCTTTCCAAACCAGTTGCAGCAATATCATGTTCCAACAGTTTTCCTTGTCGTCATCTGTGTCGTCTCTCTTGTCGAATCCCAAATTCATCGTCCCTGCCAGCGTTTTCCTAGGTTTCTGATACGAGTTATGAAACACAACCATCACCATTCCAGCAACAACATACTTCAAGCATGGCGTCTGCAGAAGAAAGTGCGGGGCAAACGTGCCCAACGCGTCCTGAAAATAGAACCCTAGCAACAATTAGAATTCTAGCTGTTTCTTAGGGGTTATAATAACCAAAAATTAACACTTCTTTCTAAGTACCCCTAAGATTCGGTGAACCCTGGCCCAAGGCCTCTTCGATGAGAATTTTGGCGATTGCTGACTCCAGCTCTGCTGAAGGCCAATCATAAGCCAACAGCTCGATCGCCACATCCTGGCCTAGATCATTCCTGTGGCTGAGGGTTTAGGGTTTAGGGTTCAATTCTTTTTTGTTTAAGGTTTATAGGGTTTAGGGCTTAGGGTCTGCAACTTCAGAGTTCAGGGATTGAGGGTTTAGATGGCTTCTAGTTCCAGGGTTGACTGGATACAGCCTGAACCCCCCAGCCATAGCGTTTAGGGTCCGTTAGGGTTTAGGGTTTAGGGTTTAGGGTCACAATATGAAACATGCACCTCATGATCTCGAAGCGTATCATGTCCCCGAACAAAACCCTCGAAGTCAACCCGTAAAGCCAAGAGCCCATCAACACTTAACAGCTCTTAACCCAAATCAAACCCTGAAGCCCAAACCCCTATAAACTCGAAGCGGGATCGAAAACTAGGGGACCCTAAAATAGTACCCCAAATAGTAGGACCCTTATTATGAGGACCCCAAAATAAGGTACCCCGAAATTTCGGAAACTCCCAAACGGTCCTGATGTACTTGCGTGCGCCGTCTGCTATGCCGTCTGGGAGACAATTCTCGCCCCAAGAACGAAGCACAAGCAGAAAAACCCACCATGCCCGCATGCTCCAGGATCTATGAAGGCCCTTTTGGGGCTCTATAGCTATGAAGGTTCTACACGACACTGATTTAGCAACGTTTAGTTTTGTCATTTTTGCGATGGGGATATTGTTTGGGGATTCTCTAGCACCACTTCGCTTTAAGGTTGTGGGGGCGGGCTGGGTGTGCACGAATGAGATTGCAAGACAGGTTTGCTTGAATCACTAAATTATGTGTAAGTTCAAGGGTAGTTTGCCCTTGGTGGGGTGTACGGTGGGCCGTTCAGGGTCCGGAATTTCAAACCATTGCCAAGGGATCTTTACCCTTGGGCTCCAGTTACCGAAATCATTGGTTATTGAGCTGTGAGTGTACGAACGTTTGTTTATATAATTTTCACCACTTGATCGCCTATGATTTTTGTTTACCACACGTCTTGAAACATTCTCTACGAAGGGAACTGGAGCCCGAGGGTTACATACCCAAATCAGGGGCAGGCTGTCTGCCGCAGGCTTTTGGGCCGGAGCGTCGGCAAACGAAGAGAGAAGACAAAACGAGCTCCCAGCAAAGGGCACCCGAAACACCAACAGTAGGGTAGTGCGAACTTGAAAACCTCCAAAAAGTTAGGGTTTAGGGTTTGGGTTGAAGGTTTAGGGTTGAGGGTTGTCTGACAGAGTTCTGCTAGACTCGAACTATTTGGCTGAGGAGTCTTCCGGAATGTCCAGACAGAGTCCTTGTACCAGCATCCTTCACTCCCAACCTTTCCTCCGAACCTGAACCCACAGCTCGACATGTCTCTAGTATACTGTAGTATATTATCGTGCATTGTTATATAGTATTCTATATCATGTTGCCGTATGTTCGAGATTGTTCGAGCTCGAGTATATAACAGTCTCCACTGTAGTTCCTTTGTTGGTTTACACAGTTTTGTATATAGGATCCTCTAAAGGCAAAGGTAATCCAAAAAAAGGGCCTACAATGGAGACCATAGGCATACATACGTATACCCTCACAAGCCGGGCGAGGGCTCATGCTCAGTGGCTTCAGCGGCACAGGCAGGGCGTCGATTCTTGGTTCTGAGGCGCACTGAAACATACGAGGGACAACTGAAGCAACAGATTGAAACTTCAAACCTTACACTGTAGTTTGGGAGGATTTCGTTCGAATTCGATGATACGGAGATTAGGAGACATGATGGAAAAATTGCTTCTCACCCTATACCCTATGTTGCGCAGGAGTGAAGGGATTAGTGAAGTTCTCGCAAATCCCGCCTACACCTCTATTCAGACGCTTCTGAACTTCCGAGCCGTCTAGGATTTGGGTTCGGCGCTTAGCTTGAAGAGTTTGTTCCTACACGCACTCTCTCTCACACACACACTCTCTCTGTCTCTCTCGCTCTCCACCCACCAACCAGAAACCGTCGCAGACCGTAAACGCAACATCCTAGGCTCGAACTGCGAATTACCCAAACACCCCACCCTGAAACAAGACACGCTAAACCCACCCCCAAACCCCAAACCCCTACTAAACCCTAAACCCGAAATCCTAAATCCAACACCCAAGAGAGCCTTACACCCCCAATCATAGGGCCCCAAAAAAGCACATAAGCAAAACTAAGGATAGGGATATCCCATGTAAACCCTCTCATAATGAAGCCCAATAAGGTAGGGATATCCTGTACAAATGCCTATGCTCATGTGCTTTTTGGGTCCCAACACTTCAGGCTCCCGAGCCAAGGGGTTCATGGATCAGGACGTCGTTCTTGAACTTACCGCACAGCCATGGCCAAACAGGAGCGAGAGGATCGACTCTTCGGTTCATGGGCTCGGGTCTCGGATTACTAGATGGGAGTTTCCGAAAACAGGGGACCCTGAAATAGTAAGATCCTTATTATAAGGACCCCCAAATAAGGTACCCCTATTTTGCGGACAGTCCCAGATATCCTAAATCCCTAAAGAAAAGACTTTTCCCTGAATCATAGGCAGAACACCAGAAAAAATGTGCTAAGCTCGAGCGCTCTGCGTTCGAGGCAACTGAACTTTACCCTAAACCCTCAGCCGACTTGCGGGGTCTAGGGTCTTGCAGTCCAGACTTTCGATGGTTCGTCAAGTTTTCGGATTTATGTGTGGCTAGGGTCATGAACAGACCTCTGTGAACGGTTTAGGGGTTTAGGTATGGGATGCCCAGTGTGCTACAGTAGGAATCAACAGGGCTCCCCTTTTGGAATTGGGTTACCTAATGCCACAACAAAGGAAAAAGAGGCCATTGGGAGACCTAGCGAAGCCTCTGAGTGGGAGCTTCTGAGACCCTTAGGATTACATGATTATGCGAAGCCTTGAGGATATAAATATAGACCCTCTCAAAAAGGTCCCCTTTTAAGAGAGCCAGAAGTAGGCTTAAGAAGGGTCCCCTTTATGGGGTCTCCCTAATACTACCTGGGAGCCGCGAAGCCAGCAGGTTTTGCACTCTGCTCCCGGAGCAGCTCTCTTCAAGCACTTTGTGCTTCCCCACAGCATAACCCAAAACATGTGGGTAGTTGTCAAAAATTAAGGTCCCTTTTGGGATACCCAAAATGGTAGGTGTCGTATTATAGTAGGGACCCCAAAAGGTACCCTAATCTTGACAACCACCCATGTAGGTACTTGTAGAAAACTAGAACTGCCCAGATGTCCGTAGAAACGCCTGAACTAAACACCGCGCTCTTGTGTTGTCTGTGCTACATATAATAGTTATGGAAGCTGCTCACTATGGTGCCAGATAGCAGTTCGACAAACGTTCAGCTTAGGGGTTTGCGGCTTGAGGTTTGGCATGTGGAGTTTAGGGCCTAGGGCGCTTAGTCGTGGTGAAAAGGGCTCTAAGCTTGGGGTTTCCATGGTTGTCTGCTGAGGTGTGTCATTACGCCCAAGAACAGCATAACAAGAAGGAACGCTTAAAGGCTAGCTTTTGCCAGGACGTTTCCTTTCCTGCGCCACCATGGGCTCTGCAGAGGCTTTACAACCTCGCTTGTCAAACCCTAAACGCTAAACCCTGTCCCCTAAACCAAATAAGCCCTAAATCCAACCTGCCCTACCAAAACCGATCCGAGGAAGCATCGGCTCTCCTTTGTGAACCCTGTAAACCCCTCAATCCCTGACCTATAAAGACCTATAAATTGCATAGAACCCTGTAAAACCCTCAAAAATTTCCTATACACTCATAAACGCCTTCGAAGCCCCTTAAGCACGTGTGCCGGCTCTTTTTTGCGAACCACCGAGTCGCATCAGCGGCCGAAGACGAGGCCCTCCTTCTCCGAAGAACGCCGGTACATGCCGGCCTTAGATTTTGTAGTTTTAGAGGGTCTAGAGGGCTTCGAGGGTCTTTATAGGTTTATAGAGTTTTATAGGGTTGAGGATGTGAGGGTCTTACAAGGTTTAGAGTACAAGGCTTCACATACAGTCAGACTTCATTAGGTTCGAGATTATACCGGCCGGGGCCTGCCGAACTGAACAAGAAGACCGGTGAGCCCTGGCAAAGCTCAACTAAACCCTCAAGCCGACACCCTAAAAACCCTTTCTAAAACCCTCAAACTTCATAGCTTTGTCAACCCTCAGCCTTTTATAAACCCTATAAACCCCGGAAACTTAACCCTAAACCTTCCAACAGCAGGTAAAGTAATGGCCCAACACCTCCGGTATCAAACCCTACAAGCCTTCTATATACTTTACTTTTTGGGCTCCAGTTAAACCCTGAACACCGAAAGCTCGCAGCCTTCAGAAATTCCTGGGATCGCGGCAGATCCTGCTTGCGTGATGGGCCGTCGCTTCATGACCTGAAGTCTGTGTTGCTTCCGAAGGGTTTAGGGTTAGGCTTTAGGACTTAGGGTTTAGGCTTTCGAGATTAGGAGTTTAGGGGCTATGGGGGTGAATGTAGGGGCCTTGATAGTTTGTAATTAGAATAGGGTCTTGCGGCCCATTACACTATAATTAGAACTACACTAAGGAAGAATTATTAAGGCCCCTATATTAGGTTGAGGGCTTCGGGTGGTGGGGTAGGTGGTTCAGGCTGAGGGCTTTAGGGCTCAGAGTGTAGATGTGTCCAAAGCTCGCAGTTTGTAGCCTCTCTCTTTAGGGTACTCGGTTTAGGGTTTAGGGTTGAGGGAGTGGCATGAGCTGGCGTCTGGGAATCAGGGACGACATGGATGGTTCTTTCCGCACGATTAGGAACCATGCCCACTGCTGTGATCAATGCCCTTTCTTTGCACCGACTCTATCAGTATCATCTGCATTGATCACGCCAAGCCCAAAAGCCCCAAAGCCTGAACCCTGAGACCTAATGTAAATTCCCCTGAGCCCTACAACCCTAATATGCCCTGTATGCAGAAGACTCGAAGCTAGACATAATTCAGGATCCCTCGGCCACTCCATTCCTCCCTCTCTCCGTCCGCATACACAAGGGAAACGACATCGTTTTATGTGTGCTGGCGCTGGAGCTGTTGGGGGGTGGCCTTGGAGATTGTACGATGTTAGGTGTTGGGTCCAGGACAATCTGTCAGTTTGTGTCCAACCGCGATTTTCCCAAAGACTCCACAAAGGTCCATATATACTACTGTACCATTATGGAACTAGCCCCCCCCAAACGATTGTGATGAGGATGGTCTTTGGGACCTAATTCCATAATGGCTGGGTGCAGCACAACCCTAAACCCTCAAACCTACACCCTCAACCCTAAACCCTCAACCCTACACCCTCACCCCTAAACTCTAAACCCCCGCAACCCTAAACCCTGCAAACCCTACATCCACAGCCCTAAACCCTAAACCCTACACCCTCAGCCCTGAACCCTAAACCCTACACCCTCAGCCCTAAACCCTACCCTACACCCTCAACCTTAAACCCGTTCTATGGACCCGGTGGGACGCTTGGGGCCCCACCACGCGCGGAGCTACGAGCAGATAGGACAGGAAGCCCGCAATGCCCAGGCCCGTCGTAACCTCGACTTAAGGGACTTAGTAACTAGGGTTTCAGAAAGGGCTCCTCAAAAGGGATCTATAGGGGTTCCTTAAAGGGCTCTGTAGGGTTTTTGGTTTAGGGTCTACTTAAAGCATCATGGGACTTAGTAACTAGGGTTATAATTAGAGTAACTATACTTATAACCCCAATTAAGGTACTTACAACCTTACTTACTAAGTCCCATGATCCTCCAAGGGCTTAAGCATCATGGGACTTAGTAACCAGGGTTCCTTTAAGGGATCTATGAGGGTTACTATGGTTCCTGTAAGGGATCTATAAGGGTTACTAGGGTCCCTTTAAGGGATCTATAAGGGTTACTATTACGGGTTATCTAGCACGCTCCAGGTTCAGGTAGGAATACTTGGAGGTTCACGGGCAGTGAGAGGTGGGATTATTTAAAAATCCTTCAAGGGATTTGTAAGGGCTCTATAGGGTTACATAAGGGGAGGTGCATGGGAAGATATAAGTGGGGTGTATAAGCAGGGTACATTTCTGTATCAACCAGAAGTTAGGGGACTTAGAAGCTCACTTATTACTACCCATCTGGCAAGCAGTCCCACTCACCCCTTGTGAGAGCCCTTTCAAGAGCTGTACCTAATACAAGGCCTTACTCGATACTAGTTGCTACCCTAAGGCCCCAAAGTAGTTCCTTTTTGGGGTTCACATATAGAATCGTATAAGGTAATCCCCAAAAGGAACTACTCGAGTCATGTACCAAAAACCACTACCAGGCTCCGACTCCCACGAACACAGCAAAACCCGAGACCTATACATGCTGGCGCCACCTTGAAACACTGAAAGCCCCGTGTAACAGTGTTACGACGAGCATACCTAAACCCCCGAAAGTTGATGGCCCAATACCTATGAAGGCTGTTACTCCACATACTTTTGGGGTCCAGGAAAGAGTTTGTTCTTAAGTGGTCCCCCAAGAATCCTGTAAGCTTAGACCTTCGACCCTGCCCCTACCCTCAGCTCCACTATGTGTGTTTATGGCTTGCAGGCCTTTGGGCTTAGGGTTTCGGTTCGGTGCAATACAAGAAACGCTCGTCCACCCTCAACCCAGCGCCACAGACCCTGAACCCCAAAACCACACCCTCATCCCTCGCTACTTCTGATTACCATTCCCCGTATAGGATCCTAACGACACACCTAATCGGCACACCCTAAACCAAACCCGTGGCCCTAAACCCTAAACCCCAAGCCCTAAATACGAAACCCTACACTCCCTACACCCTAAACTGGCCCCCAAACCCCAAAACCCTAAACCCCTGAACCCTAAAACCCTAAACCCCTGAACCCTAAACCCTAAAGCCCTGAACCCTAAAACCCTAAAGTCCCGAACCCTCAGCGCTACACCCAAAGCCAAGATCTGTTTTCAACTCCGGGCTCCCAAGCCACAGTGCCGAAAAGCAGCACGGCAGCGAGCGAGACCTCAGAAGTGGGCTCCGCCTTAGGGTTTAGGGTTGAGGGTTTGAGGGCTTAGGGTTTAGGGTTGAGGGTTTGGGTTTAGGGTTTAGGGTTTAGGGTTAGGTTTAGGGTTTCGGGTTCTCCGTTGTAGTTCTTGTGTGGCGCTACCTTCTGGGATCCCGATTGTAGAACTGCATAGACTTAGACCCAACAGCAAACTGCAATGGAGACTGCCTGGACCCCCAAAGTATGTAGAATAATAGGCTCTATGGGTATTGGGCCACTATTTTACCTACTTTGGGGGGTTTAGGTATAGGTAATAGGGAACATCAAAGTCCAAGGAATCAAGGGGTCTTGAAAGGGGTCTCTTTATCTTTACGTTTCCTACAAGGGTTGCATAAGGGAGTCCTCCTAAAGTAGGTTCTACTTGGTGTCACTTCCTCATAATGCAAGATGGGCCACTGATGATCCCCACTGGGACTGCACTTTCTGTTTGAAGCTTGATTCTAGGATGCCTAGGTAAAAAGGGCTCCATTCTTGATACTGGGTATGTTTTATAAGGAACCTAGGTGAATCCCAAATGAGCCCAACTCCCGAGCCTAAACCATCCTTTCTACGGTCACTACTCGCTGCCATTGACAGAAGCTAATGTGATATCTTGGATACTGTACTGTCCCCCACTCTGTAACAGTTGGATAGTGTTTGCATTATACCTTGTAGCTATACATAGCCGCAGCCCTTGACACGACCCCCAATATAGACTGTTCCAGAGTGCTGCCGCCCGTACAGTAACATAGAGTACTGCCTCTATACAGTATCAGTCTGTACTAGGGCTACCATTACGGCCCTGGTGTAACGATATTATAAGTGACGACTCAACTATTACTGCATAGGTACAGTACCCAAGTGATATCCCTTTTCTGGTGCCTTGCTCGCCTCGGATTGAAGCAGCTTCCTCCTGCTGCGGCATCCAAGTTTATATAGGGCTGCAGAGCTTTAAAAGTTTAGAGTTCAGGGTTTAGGGTTTTAGGGCTTTGAGGTTTTAGGTTGGGCTTATAGGGTCCATGAAGGGTTTAGGGTTTAGGCTGTGAGGAATGCTTCGCATCTCAACTGCAAACCCTAAAAGCCCTGAGCCCGAAAGCCACGAACTTTAACGGCCTCGTACTTGTTGTACAGTTCTACGCTAAACCCTAAGCCGCTTAACCCTAACCCCTTAACGCAGCAAGCCTGGCAAGCATTCATACAGCACCTCTATGGCTGTTGAGACCTACAGGGTTTGGAGTTTACGGTTTAGGGGTTTAGGGTTTTCGGATTTAGGATTTCGTGCAGCCTGCGAAGGTGGCGATATGAAAGAGTCGATCAGCAGCCGATAATGCTAAAGCACCACCCGCAACTAACAGTCTTAATCGCCGAGCTGCCAAGACCTCTGCATTGTAAAACCCTAAACTCGAGACTACCTGCTCCCTGGACCCTAAGGAACCTGCCTGTTTAGGGTTCCCTCATGTGATTTCTTTATATACGTCCTGCAAAAAGTGGGTTACTTAACTTGGGGTTAAGATCAACCCTAACTCCAATCCAAGGGTCTCAACCTGAGGCCCCCTAACCCCGGAATCTCACTTCTACTCTCAAGCCACGCTCGGACTACGAAACCTCATCAACACCCTAAACCCTAAGTTATTTCAACCCCTACAGGAGTGAGGTTTAGGATGCTAGGGTATGGGGTTAGGCTTTATAGACCCTTATAACCCCAAACCCTAGCATCCTCAAGCTCACTCCACCGGCTTCAACCTAGGAAGCTGCTGACTGGCCGGAAACTCCTGAACACCCTAAACCCTAAACCCCTAAACCCTAAACCCTAAACCCTCAACCCTCAACCCTAAACCCTAAACCCTAAACCCTGAGCCTAGACTTCGAAGCCTGCAGGGGATCCCCATCAGAACCCCGATGATAAGCCCCACGGTTTAGTGGTTTAGTTTTTTTTTTGAGCTCCTTTTTTCCAAGAGGCAGCAGTCTCCGGGGTTTAGGGTCTAGGAGCCTTAAATCATAGCCATTCTTGGGTTTAGGGTTCAGGGTGTAGAAGCTCCAAACCATAGCCATTCTTGGAGCCACGGGGCTCTATAAGACTCCCGATGATCACTCAATCCCAACTCCTTTTGGCTCCACAAGGGTTCCATAAACAGATCCCAAGCCCGACACCCTGAGCCAGAGCTCTCCTATGTAGCCACTCGCTGGGCAATGTGCCCTTCGCTGCATGGGTCACGTTGGCCTCAGGCTGCGGGGGCCTTTGATGGGAGGCCAAAAGGGGGGTTTAAGATTCTTGGGGTAGGGGTTCCTTCATCTGAGCCCTATTATGGGAACCCTAATCCCTACTAAACCCCCATGGGCTAAGATCCCTTTTGCCCTCCTATGAGCCTTATTCTACCGCTTGTCGCTGCAAGGCGTAGGGCTTGGGGCTCAGGATGGCTTAGGGTTCAGGGTTTCTTATGGTGGCTTAGGGTTCAGGGTTTCTGCTTAGGATGGCTGACGGTTCACGGTTTCTCTAGCCGTGAAGGGGCCTGGAAATCAATGTTTTGTCTGTTGGGTTGCATATGCCTGCAAGGTACTCACAGCTTCAGCTACCAGCCGGGCAATCTACCAGTTACTAGATCACCGGACCTTTTCCCTGGACCTCATATTCGAGACCCTGAATCCCAGCAACTCTTGTTCAACCTCAACTAAAACCTCAAGCTAGTAACTTATAGCTTTAGCAGTCAAACACACCTCCAGCTCAAACGTTTACCTAAACTAGGTCCTCATCCTGCGATCCTCAACTCACGAAACCCTGCACCCAAAACGTATCTTGGCTCCTGCTCCTCTTCTGAGCTTTCGGCGAGAACGCTCGGGATATTTGACTGATTTCCCACGGCCTTGTCCTCGCAGCCGCTTTGTAACCAGGGCTAACAGCAGAGACTGTGGGAGCTTAGGCCTTAATAAGTAGAGTAGCTTTTCATTCAGGGCTTTGCAGGGCTTGGGCACGGGCCGCTGAAGTAGCGACCCCGACATCCACTGCTTCCTGGAGGATGGCACTGAACCCGTAATGTAGGGGCCTTAATAATTATCATAGGGTTGCGGGGCCCATTATTCTATAATTGCCATAAGGAACCCCCAAAATAGTATAGGTAATCATTTAAGACCCCTATATGAAGCCAAAACCCTGAACTCTACGCTCTACGGCTGGGGTCTGCGGATTCGAAATCCACGCCTTCTCCACGTGGCCGAGCTCTGGGGCAGAGCCTGAGACCGCTTTAGAGAGTTGTATCGTTTAGGATTTAAGGCGTTTTGGGGGTTCAGGGTTCAGGGCTTTAGGGCTTTCGGGCTTAGGGCTGCTGGGTTTCCGGTCTTCGGGCTTGTGCATGTGGGACTGTCAGCATCAACTCCCATGTCCCCACTTAAAGGATCATGGGATTTATTAATTAGGGTTATAAATAAGGTACGTATACTTATAAGTACTTATATCTCGAATTGAGGTACTTATAACCTAACTTACTAAGTCCCCTGATCCTCCAAGTAGACCCTAAACCCTAAACCCCATAGATCCCTTTTAAGGGAACCCCTATAGATCCCTTTTACGAAGCCCTTTCAAGGAACCTTACTGAGTCCCCTGATCCTCCAAGCAGAGCCCTCCAAAGATCCAGGCAAAAGTTGGCCTTGTCCTGCTTTCACAAAGCGTAGCGCTGAGGCCACAATAAGTTCAGCCGTTGAAGCATATATCGCAGTGCTTTAAATAACAATACTTATAAACTATGCAGGCCCCAGATACCTGCTATTGATATTTTGTATACACATTTGAACAAGAATAGTCAGAATAGTAATATAGTATTATTGTTTATTGTTGTCATTATATAGATCCCTCTGTTCCCTTGATGGTTTGCGAAACCGTACCCCTTCCATGCCAGCGGCATATCGGCCCATAAGCAGAAACCCGGGTGAATTCTCTGCTGGGGGCTGGAGGCTGTGGGGGGGTTAGGGCTAGGGGTCAGGGTTCATGGTCCAGGGTTTAAGGTTTAGGGTTTAAGGTTCAGGGTCTAGGGTTTAAGGGTAGAGGTGGAGTTACGAAGGGTTTTTGGATTCAGGGGTGTCTGATTTTGGATTAACGGTTCCAGGGTTTTTCGGGCTTTAGGGTTTTAGGGAATCCCTGGCCCCTGCATAGACATGAACATCCCGAGGATTTTACCAAGAACCTAGAAGCCACAAACTTCGGGGCTTGCGGAGGGTCTTGGGCTTGTGCAAGCTTCAGCCGAACTTCCACAACCCTGCCGCTCCAAAGATCTCAAAACTTACCTGGACTCTAAGAAACCTACCGTTTTAGGGCTCCTTTTAGGATTTCCTTATATAAGCCCTTAAAAAGGAAGGTTATTTGGGGTTAAGGTAGGGTTTGGGGTTTAGGGTAGACTATCCGGCAGCACAGCCAGAGGCGGCCACGATTGCTTACATCGAAGGTCGATGTCAACAGTTGGTCCTGTGCGCAAACTTCGGATGTATTACACGCTCTTGGCGGCTATGTATTCAGAGGGTAGGCGTGGCAGCGCAACAACCCTTGGGCATCAAAAAAGCCCCAAAAGCCTTATGTAGTATCCCTAAGGGTCCATGTACCCATATAGAGATACATGAGCCCCAAAGTACCTATATAGGGACTACATAAAGCCCAATGTATATACTATATGAGTACATGGACCCTTAGGGTATGGTCTTTGGGCCCAAAAGCCTTAAAATAGGAATCCTTAGATTAGGGAGCGAAAAGCTCGGAAGCCCGAAGAATGCAGCATCAGAGCGATCGTAGTGTCGGCTTTGGTAGCCAGGAATCTGCCACGATCACATTTAGGGAGGTCTCAACATGAGTAGACAGTAAAAGAGAGTAAGAGAGAGAGAGAGAGAGAGAGAGAGAGAGAGAGAGAGAGAGAGAGAGAGAGAGGGAGAGAGAGAAAGAGAGAGAGAGAGAGAGAGAGCGAGGGAGGGAGGGAGCGAGCGAGGGAGGGAGGGAGGGAGGGAGGGAGCGAGCGAGGGAGGGAGGGAGGGAGGGAGGGGGAGAGAGAGAGCCCCCTCATATTAGAAGTTTTAGAAACAAACTACTACCTTGCCTTAGGGCTTCTTATTAACATGCTCTTTTAAGAATCCCCCAAAGCCAAACTGCCCTTCCCCCATCGCTTGAACTAGCTAGTTACTCATTAGCAACGGTAGATTTAATCGCAAGACAGAGATACGAACACGATGCCTAGCAATGGCACGATTAGTAATTCTGCGGAAGCCTAGAAAACTGTTCGATACGCACACGGTGAGTAGAGCAGTTAGCTGAAAATAGTGGCCAACTCAGACAAGGAAAGGGCACTCATGAGCATTTTCAGGAAATCGATCCTTAGTCTCCAGTTTGGGTCGTGATGTCCCTGATTTATGCCTAGGATCGTCGGATTTGAGGATAAGCATTGAGAGCATGCTTCTGACCTGATGACGGCATCGTACTGCTGACAGCATCTGCTGACAGCTTCAGAGCTTTGCTGCAAAGATGCCTCAAACCCCGTAAACCCTAAAGACACTAAACTCTGATAAACCCTAAACGACAGAAAACTCTGAATCCTAAACCCTAAACGACACTACACTCTGAACCGTCTTAAGAGATGATTCACCAACCTTTTCGCTCCTAAACCCTGAAGTTTTGCATCTGTAAACCCTTGCAAAAAAAATCCTAATGTAGGAACCTTAGGGTTCTAGAAGGGTTCCTGTAAAGGGTACTATAAGGGTTCCTTCAAAGGGTACTATAGAGGTACTATAAGGGTACTATAAGGGTTTTGAAGGGTTTAATGCAGGAACCTGATTAAGAAACCTTGGGCCTAAGGGTTCCTTTAAAGGGGTCCTCTACGGGTTACTATAAGGAATCTGTAATAAGGGTACTCTAATAGTGTCGGAACCTGATTAAGAAAGATAGGGCCGTTATTTGGGTTCGTTATAGGCCCAGGGTTTCTTAATTAGGCTCCTGCATAAAACCCCCAATTCCCCTAAACCCAGACACTTGTACATCAACAGCTGACGCCTTCTGCCGGCGCATCACCTACCAGGGGTCGAATGCTTCCAGGACATACCCTAGAAGGCCAGCCAGCAAAACAGAGGGCTACTGTCTCTGCGCCGCTCATAACAGCGTAGAAGTAGCATCACGCATGGTGTAGATACCCATAGTACGATTAACCGGGTTTTGTAGGGCTACCTCTCAGGGTGTAGCACATACGTGAGCCGTCAGAAATGCCTGTTGGTTCAGAACGTCAGATTCATGCCCTACCTATAGTCTCCATTGTGATTCCTTTCTTTGGTTAACCAACTTTATGGTTAGGATCCTATAATAGAGATTTTGGTTTACCAAAAAAAGGAACTACAATGGAGACTATAGGTAGGACTGGGGGCTGATGTGGGGTTCAGGAACTTGAGTTGTAGGTTGGGTACGGCCCCCACTCAGTAATAGTTGAATAGTATTCATAATATAGATCTAGTAGTACCTTAATCGTAGCCCTACTATAGACTCTTACTGCAAGGGGGCAGTACCTAAGTTGTAGGGTTTCGAGTTCACTGGTGTTTGGTATGGTAACGAAGGTGACAAAGAGGAGGACAACCATGATGATGCCGACCACCCGTGTCATGATCAATACCATGATCATGATTCGACCATGACTGCTACGATGACGGCGTTGCTGACCAAGGTGATGACGACGCTGATGGTGACGACGACAGCAATGCTCGAAATCCGAACCAAAGCGATAAAAGATGTTCTAAAACCCTACATCACGCTCAGATGATGCACAGGGATTCCGGGATTGCGATTCGAAGACGCTAATGACCGCGCTTTGCGGACATCCTGATGACTTAGAAGCATGAAGCACGGCGGAGCCCCCTCAAGTGTTTGCGTTGTCTCGGGGTACGGATCGAGGGTTTAGGGCCGGGATTCAAGGTCAGTGGCGACAGAAGCTGAGACTTGTTTCTCGATCCAGTATTGCCCAAGAAATCTCGTGGAAGCGGCTCCGATCTAGGCTGACAGCCTTCGGTCAGCGTAACTCACAATCGAGAGACCGAACTGAGTTGAATAGCCAGTTGAAGAGCGTTTCGAGTTATCTTAGCCACGAGGTCTGCATTTGCAATGTCTCCGCTTGTATCTCTGACAACTGGAGCCTAGGCTAGACTTCAAGTTCAGTGTCTGAACATGCGGAACCACAAACAACTGACCCAGCCGCTAAAAAGAAGCAGACCCGCAAAAAATGCCGAACACCCCCGAACAAGCAGCACCTGTGCTGCAGCCATGGACGAGAGAGAGCCATCAGCTTGGACCTCTACTGTTGTATGGTTCTCTTGGTGTTTGCATTGTTGACTTGTTGCTCTCTGATGTTTCCCAATTGACAAAGGGTCCTATGTAGTTTATGTTATGATGTCTCCTTTCCGAGATGATAATACTGATACCTTCTGATATATATATATATATATATATATATATATATGTATATATATATACACACTAAACCCTAAACCCTTTTACTCTATGGGTACTTAGGACCATTTGGGTTTTAGGGCTCTGGAGCTTCGAAGGCTTCATGTAATCATGCATGGCTTCATGTGGGAGTTTCCGAAATTGGGGGTTACCTTTGAAAGCGATCTTTAAGGGGTCCTTAGGGATCTATAAGGGTTCTTTAAAGGGTTTGGGGTTCAGGGTTTCCGAAAATTAGGGGTACCGTATTTTTGGAGTCCTTGCAATAAGGTTCCTACCATTTAGGGTACTATATTAGGGTCTCCTATTTTCGGAAACCCCCCCCCATGTTTCTTCGCCTCGGATTCTGAGGCTGTACAGCTGTAGGGTTTGGATTTAGTCTAGTATAGGGGCCTTAATAATTAGAAGCGGGTTTGCGGGTATGTTATATTACAATAATATTCAGGAACCCCCAAAACCCTATTCTAAACAATTAGTACCCTCTCCTTCCAAGGACCTCATAGTTAGGGCCCTCGACCCCCTTAAGGACCCAATAATACGGTCCCTGGAGGCGTAGGTTTGCTGACATCTACACTCCATACACATAGGCTCCATTTTAGTTCCTTTTGGGGATTACCTTATAGAATTCTGAATATGAACCCCAAAAGGAACTACTATGGAGCCTTAGGGGGAGGCGTGGGGTTAAGGCTGGGCCCCACGTAAAAATTGCCGCCTGGATCTGGATCTGCTTGTGGATGGCCTCGTGATCTTTGTCAAGCCTGACGCAAGGGTTCGGCGTATAATTTAGGGTCTGGCCCTAAGGGTGTTTTAGGATAGTGGTTATGTAGGTTAGTTTTTGGGAGAGTATATGATTACTAGATACGTGGACGCTTGGAGTGGGGTGTAGGTTTGGGGTCTTTGCTGTTTTAAGGTTTTGGGTTGGGCATCTGGGATTTTGGGTCCAGGGTAGGGTGCAGCTTAGGTGCGCTCCGCACCCCTCGGAAGACACCCTATGGGGCGACGGAAGGTTCAAGGGGCATCCAAAAAATACCCTCTGAAGCCGAATGAAAGCCATTCCGAACCCCAACAAAGTCTGCGTAAAATCCCTTCAAGCCCCCCCATACCAATCCCCACACAAAAAACGAAAGCAACAAAAGCAACTGCACTGGGTGTCGTACGACGCCGCAAAGCTGGGTCCGCAGAGGATGGGGAGAATGCAGGCAAAGGCCTGGGGGAGAACTTCAGGGTCACGGTGGGTTTCGGGTGTAGGGTGCTTACTATTTAAGCATTTTGCAAATCACTCCGTCCATATTCTGCAGGATACTTCCAGTAGGACACAGTTGGGTAGTTGTCAAAATTAGGGTCCTTTTAGGGTACCCGAAATATTAGGTGCCGTATTAAGGCCACAAAAAGGGGACCCTACTTTTGGCGACCACCCATTTGCTGCGGGGTCTCGAGGGCTTCATGCTTCAAAGGGTTTCTTAGGATGTCCTTAAGGGGGGGTGGTCCAAGGGGGGTAGGTAACCTAGTAATCCCCATTATTCCCCAATACTCCCTAAGCTTCCCTAAGGTTCCCCAAAGCTCCCTAGTACCCTCCCCCCTTGAACCACCCCCCCTTAAGGATCCTATAAGTTTCAGGGGTTTGGGAATTGAAAGTACGGGGCTTGGGTGTCAGGAGTCTTCGGGATGCTAAGGCCACTCTTTGTTTGCGTGAGCATTACAGACCCTGTTGTTTAGGGGGCTTAGGAATCCGTGACCCTCCTATGCGTTGAGATTGAATTCTTCCAAGATCTCCAAAAAACTGAGCCTAGATGACCCACCCTAAGGGTGCATGTGCCCTGATAGTATACATATGTTCTTAATTTGCCACTAGATTACCTGTAGAAGGACTACTTTAAGGCTCAAGCTTTTGTGCTACATGGGTACATGGACCCTGACGGGAAACGAAGGCAGATCCGAACCACCTCTGAGAAGACTGAACCATGGAAAAAAGCCGTCGATCCTGTCGCAGGGTCTCAGGAGATTCTCAACATTCTAAGCCTCAAGCCTAAACCCCAAACATGAACCCTAAACCCTAAACCCAAACCCTAAACTCCTAAAATAAACCCTAAAACCCTGAACTAAACCCTAAACTCCAAACATAACCCCTAAACCCTAAACCCAAACCCTAAACTCCAAACGTAAACCCTAAACCCTAAACGCCAACATAATCCCTAAACCCTAAACCCTAAACTCCAAACATAAACCCCATGAGCCCTAAACCCCAGATCTACTCCGAGGCCCAGGCCCACATTGAATGGAGACGGAACCCTAGCCTGCAGGTTTGAGGTTTTGGGTTTAGGGGTTTTGGGGTTTAGGGGTTTAGGGGTTTAGGGTTTAGGGGTTTAGGGTTGGTTTAGGGTTGGTTTAGGGTTTAGGGTGCCTGCATCCTGAACCCTCAACCATAAGTCCTAATTGACCCGAAATCTACATCCAATCCATGCTTCCAGAAGGCCCGAAACAAACCCGAACCTCACATTTTACTTTATTCAAAGGGGAGAAGGAGAGACCCTTAATGGGGACCCCTACCCTATAATGGGCTATATATTGGGTATATAATAAATATATCAAGGCTCTATACCTAGGGGTCCTTATTAAGGGTTCCTCCTTCTACCCTTGGATTTATCATAGCCCTCATGGCGGCACAAATCCGGACACGGTAAGCAAATCCAGGACACACCGCCCTAAATCCTAACACAGAAGCCTTCGCAATCTGGCCTTTAAGGGCATATGCAAACATACCATAATTGAGAAATCGAAGAAGGTAAGGTTCAATGGATTAGGTGAAGTAAAGCTTCTGTCTCTGCCTGGAACGAGATCTCCCGCACAGGGCCTTGGTAAGCAGCGGGAATCATGCCCTCGCTCAGAGTTTTGATGTTTCTTCCCTAAGCTCTACACCCGGGCTCCTTTCAAGGTTTTATAAGGGATCAATCGGGGATCCGAAGGGGACAGGGTTTAGGCTTCAGGGATTAGGGGTCATGCCATGGGGCATTTCATTGAAAGGTTTGAACTGTAGGGGTCTCAAGCCTAGCTCTCTACCAAGACCAGGGATTGTAGTACATGTTTCGGGGGAACCTCATTTTGTGATTGTCGGATAGCCCTACATAATATCCCTAAAACCTAAACCCCAGCCATCCGTCAGCAGCAAGAAGGTGCTGCAGCCCAGGGTCTAGGCGAGCCCGAAAGCAAATCCTCTGGATCCATTACAAAACTTGTACAGAACCTCTGACAACCGAACGCCAAAAGGTGTCTCAAAGAACTCCCCTTAGAGGAAGCGCAAACCCTAAACCCTGAACCCCAAATGCTAAGAGGAGCCTCGAACCCTCCACCCTTAAAGGAACACTTATCGGACTTACCGGTCCCCTTACAGATCCCTCCAAGATCCCCGGTATAGTACCCTTAACGGGACCCTAAAGTACCCTTTAACGGAGATCCCTTGAAGATCCCGGGTAGACATTAACCCTGAATAACCTACCTTTTTAGGGCTCCTTATTATGATTTCTTTATATAAGTCCTTAAAAGTGCAGGTTCTTCGGGGTTAAGGGAAGCTTAGCAAAGGCTGAACCCTAAACCCTAATATACCCACAACCATCCTAAACCCTAACCCCCCCCCCCACACGAAGAAAAGTAGCCCCAAATAATCCACTTAGGGTTCCTTGTTATGATTTCTTCATTAAGTCTAAAAAATGTAGGTCCTTCGGGGTTAAGGGAAGCTTAGCAGAGGCAGTCTTCGGTTTCAGCGACTGTCGGGTCCTACGCCGGGTGAACAGGAGGCTCCGATATCCCTGCATTGAAGGGTTTAGGGTTTAGGGTTTCGGGTTTAGGGTTTCGGATTTGGGGTTTCGGGTTTGGGGTTTCGGGTTTAGGGTTTCGGGTTTAGGGTTTCAGGTTCAGGGGCTGATTGCTTCTGAAGGCCCCTACAATACTTGAAGACGTACATTCCTAAACGATCGGATAACCCTGAAGCCAACAAGCCTAGACTAATAATCTCGAGGGTTCTTCCACCCCAAACCCGAACCCTAAACCGTCATGAAGAGGCCTTGCAACCCTAGCCCCAAGCCCTACGGTTGATGATATAAATCCTGCATGACCTTAAGGATCCTAAACTATGGGAATAATGGTATATTCCTTATTATGGGTAATGCAGGATTTATATCATCAACCGTAGTGCCTCCTTGCAGTTTTGAAGCGGGGCTCCCGGATTCGACACATACTGGGGGTTTAGGGTTCAAGGTTTAAGGTTGTCAAAAAGACGACACTGTGCAAACACCCGGGGGGCCCATGACAACCCACTCTCCAGGGTCTTTGGGCATGTCTTTGAAATATGGGAGTTTCCGAAAACTAGGGGTACATTCTTTTGGGGTCCTTATAATAAGGATCCTACGTACTATTTAGGGTACTATAGTAGGGTCCCCTATTTTCGGAAACTCCCATATGGACTTGTGTCTTTCGGCTCTGGGTTCGGGGTTTCCGAATGGATGCTGCACATGGACCCTGCACCCCAAACCCTAAACCCCTGAGCCCTGAACCCCCAACCCTGAACCCTAAACCCCAAAACTCTGGGTCCCGGGCCGGCAAACCTGAATTTCCCTAACCACAGGACATTTGAGGCACATGTCTGAGCCACTGGACGCGCGAAACATCGTGATGTCTGGGTGAGATAGGGTCTATATGGTGTAGGACTTTAGGACACTTCAGGGTAGGCTTGGGCTCCCATGGCTCGTATACAGGGTTTCTTTCTGCGGTCGGGGCCTCGAGGTTTGAGGTTTGGTTTGTGCCGTCTCCTCCCCTCGCTGTGGCTATGCTCACACCCAATGCGAACCCTACATTGGGCGTCTAGCCAAGCACCGAAACGATGCTTGGGAAAGCTTCTCAGCGGGCGGCAAATGCTGCTGCAGGCCTAAAAGCAAAACCAAACATAACCATATATATATATATATAGATACACTGCAGGTAGGCTGGGTTGAAGGGGCTGCGCAGGAAGTGGGAGGCGTGATTGAATCACTTCCGATTTTGCATGACCACTACAAAACATGCCAGCTTCGTTCCTCGTTTACGCAAAACTGAAACGGTAAGCACCGAACCTTCAGCCCCTTTAATTAGACCATTTTGCAGCCTGTCTTGCTCGGCTGGAGTACCCCTCACGCACTGTCCCAGCCCCCAACCGAAACCCTAAAACCGAAACCCTGAACCCTAACCCTAAATCTAAATTCTTACCTGCATGAGCCCTGTAAACCCAGTCGATGTCCGTTTCTTTTCGGGCAGTCGCCCAAACACTTCCTTGCAGTTGCCAACAGCAGCTGCTCGTGGCGTCTCACAAGCCGAAGACAACGGGAGAGCCAATTTAGAGTTTGCTTGAGATACAAATGTATAGCTCAGGCTCCATGACACGGGATTCCGACTGTAGAAGATACCACCCTCTCTCAGGGATCTTCGGGTGTAGCTTAATTACAACAGGGATTGAGGTCCTCTCGTTCATGAACTTTGTTTGTTGAGAACGGGTTGTGGTGAAATTAAGCGCTGAGCCCGAAACCGTCTTTAATGATCAAAACCGGGTTGTAGAATATGTTCGTATAATTGTGAAAATCAGGAGCAGAGAGGAAAAATACTGATCATTCTTCAGGCTTCTTATGGCATTGCGGCGGCTGTAGAGGGTGCCAGTATGTTTTTGTTGTCTCTGAGTTGGGACATTAGCTGGCTATGATAATACAGGAGCAGTCGTATGAATTGGTGCGAGGCTCTCTTGCATGCGCTTCAGGTTGAGGATTTCAGGGTTTGGGGTCCAAGATTCAGATGGCGGGTTTGGGAACTAATGTAGAATCCAAAACCCTAATCCCGAACCGCTAAACCTTGATCCAATCCCTGAGCCCTAAACCTTGGAAGGTGGTCATGGTTTGAGATTTGTTGGGTGCAGGATAACCAGGGGTGAGGATTTGCGGAGCTCCGGCTTCGGGTTCTTTAAGTACAATTTAGGATGTCTAGGTTACCCAGTAACCTAAGAATAAACAGGCCTCTCTTTTTGGTATTGGGTAACTTTAGAAGGAACCTAGGACTACAAAAAGGGAATAAGGGTACTACTGGGCATCCTAGATGTTTAAGGTTTGGGATTGAAAGTTTAAGACCGATTCTCGTCTGCCCGTCCCTCGGCTCACGGCTGACTGTACAGTCGGACAGCCGCCAGCGCAAGCTTGCGCCATGACGGAAGCAATATGGTTTACAGGGTTCTTGGTGCAGAGTTGTGCTCAGAAGATGTGAGGTGCATACTTAAAATGTGTAGAGGTGCCATAACGGTGATCTTTTGATGCGTTCAATCAACATATGGGGAGTGGTACTTAGGGGTCTACATAGCAAGATCCCTACGATTTAGATGGTAATGCCAAAACAAAAACTCATGGTAGGGTTCGCATGGGACAGTGAATGTTAGTAAGAAGCGGTACCTGTTGGGTTTAGTGTTTACGGTAAACCATAATAAACCATATCTAAGGCGACTAAAGGTCCTGCAAAAGACAAGATGCTCTTACCATACACATCTGGGAGCCACAACTTGGGACCCTAACAGTTTGAACCTGTCAAGAATAACATGGAAGACTAAGAAATAATTACAGCTATTTTTTTGGGGGGGGGGCGATACAACTGCAGTATAATCTGCCCGCCATGTGCCTTAAAACCCTATCCTATTTGACTGTATTGGCTCCTTTAATTTATGACCCACATGCCATGTTGCCCGCAGTCATGGCAGTTGCGCACCATCCTTCGCAATTATGCTGAAGCGCATGTGAACTGGGCACATTCCTGCGCTGAAACACAACTCCTCTTCATGAGATGCCTCACATATGGTAAATTGTGGAGCCTGAATAAGCAGAATGTGGTCTACTACCCTTGAAGGCCAGCAACAGTTATAGTTCCACGACAACAGAAACTAGGATACCCAGTAACCTCAGAACAAAAAGGCCTCTCTTTTTGGTATTGGGTAACTTTATAAGGAACCTAGGACTACAAAAAGGGAATAAGGGTACTACAGGAGATCCTAGAAAAAGGAAACCAAGAAACCCCAACCTCAATCAATAAACAACACGCAACCATGCCAACGAGCTGTACAGTTTCAGTAAGACAGCCTCCTTGTTGGCATGGCCAGTGTCAGATCTATAACCCTAAGGGTCCATGTACCTAAATAGTGTATGCATTGGCCTTAAAGTACTCCCTATATGGGTATATTGGGCCCAATGTATATACTACTTGGGTACATGGACCCTTAGGGTAAGACCCTGCGAAGAAACAGGCGACGGTAGTTCAATTTATACCGGTATATGCCCCACGCCCGAAGACCAGTTAAATAAGGATTCGGGTGCAGACCCTGTAGTTCTCATATGCCCCACTGTTGAAGTTAAGGAGGTTTTCGTGGGCCCTAAACCCCTACCTAAACCCCCAAAAGTAGGTAAAATACACGGCTCCTGTTCTACATACTCTAGACCTAAGAGGTTTAAACTAGTACTTTAGGCGTCCAGGCTAAACCCAAACCGTAGGATTCGGGGGAGGGGGTGTAGTTGACATCGGAGCTTCTTTCGAGATCGAGCCCTTGGCGAAAATTGAACGTGGGCTGTTTTGCATTGGAGGATAGCATTGCCGAAAAAAAATGGGTTTCGGTTTTTTTGGTCGATCCTGGACATATGATTCTTAGCCGTATGTGCTCACAATTGAAGAGAGGCTGCTGGATCAGCGCGCTAAACACTAGAATCCTTGACGCACGGTCTCTGGGAAAACGTGACCTCTCAGAGGGCTCATCTGGCAGATCTGGCGTGGAAGCGCAAGGTTCGCAGTAGACTATTTTGCTATAAGTAACAAAAGGAACACTCAAAATGGTATACGGGAGGCAAAAGTCGCAGCCCTCAAAATCCGAAGAGCATGGTAGTTTCTTCAGGTTTGGGCTTCAGGGAATAACTTGCCGGGTTACCGTATGAAGGCTCCTGCCCCCAGAAACAGAAGCCTACTACCTGCAAGGAAACTTAAAGCCCAAGCCAACGAAACCCGAGACCTTAAACCACAAAAAAAAAAACTAAACCCGAAACGAGCCTAAAACCTGTATTTCGCGCCTGTATGCGCTGCTCCGAAGCAAGCTGTCCAGATGCATGCTGTGGGAGCCATCCATGGAAGCCTGTCGAACGAAACTCTGAGATACGACATGCAGTCAGTGATGAGTTTGATTACCTATAGTCTCCATTGTAGTTCCTTTTTTGATGAACCAAAAACTCTATTATAGGATCCTAACCATAAAACTGGTGAACCCAAAAAAGGAACTACAATGAAGACTATAGGTAGATTACATAGTATGCAGCCCGATTAGTTAAGGGTTCAGGTTCCTTAAACCCTCAATAAACCACAGCGGCCCGAGCGTTCTGAGGAAAATCCTGACAGTTTGAAGCAAGTAATGAAAGCTTGATGCCCTAGAGCGGAAACCACGCAGTTCTGAGAGTCTGTACCATGCCCGAACACAGGGGCCTGAGAAACTAGAATAGGGTTTATAGGGTTTGGTTTAGGGTTTAAGGTTTATGGTCTAGGGATTAGGACTCGAGTTTAGGGTTTGTGGTTGAAAGTTAAAGGTATGATCAACAACTCTTAAGGAATAGGATTGGCAGCCGTTTCAATTAAGCTTCTACCAAAGGCTGCCATAAGTAACTCAATTCTTGTAGGTGCTCACTATACACTGCTGCTGATATAGACTGTACATGGACCCTATCAGAGAAGAAGTTGTCGGTATGATGTAGCTTAGGCATTGGAGCTGCAAGACATGGCAAGCGTCAAGCCACAAATTCACATAAAAGCTCTCGGGCTTATAGGGTTTTAGGGTTTCGAGTTGAGGTTGTAACACAATAGGGATACTTTTCTTATCCAAGGCTTAGGGTTCAGAGCCTAGGGTTTAGGCTTAGGGCTCAGATTCGGCTCATGTGGCCCCAGACCCACAAAGCCTTGAACCCCAAAGCCGCGAAACCGCAAAGCCCAGACGGGTTCGGTAGTGAAACGCAAGGGCCCAGACCTTCCAAAAGCCCTTAATTAAGGAATATACCTTAAATTATGGTAGGATCCCAAATATGAATTAAGGTATATTCCTTAATTAAGGGATTTTGGAAGGTCTGGGGGGCTTTGTCTGAAGCCTTTGGCAAGCCAAGCAGATGATTGCCAGAGCAACTTTGGGGATGACCTAATACAAGTTTTGTTTTTTGAAGGGGTGGGGGGGGTGGGGGAGAAGTGGGGAGGGGGGGGTGGGTGGGGGGCGGGGGGGCTGACAATTATGGAGGTCTTTTTTTTGGAAGCCTCCAGCAGCCCTCAACAAATCTGTAGAATTATCGAGGCCCCTATATTAACCCTGTTCATGCCTGAGGCAGCTGGAAGTGATCGTCCAACATCGGAGCGGAAGACATTCCCATCCTAAGATCTGGCGACATCGGCTTTTGTCGATTAAGGTTTTTGGGCTTACGGTTTTGGGTGTACCTGTGACCCCAAGCCCCACAAAATAGTAGGTTCTGACCCCTTAAGTAGAGGGTAGAACCCTGAAAGCGGGGTTTTGGGGCTGCCAGGTAGGGTCGACGGTTCAGGTTTCAGGGTCCCGGCTCCCTGGTTCTTCCTCGGAAGACGGGGGAACGGGTGACGGGGACCACTGCAAGGGACCTTGGGCGGCTGTCATGGGTTCCCGGCTAACAACCGGGAGTTCTAGGGAATTACCAAGCCCTGAACCCTAAACTCCAGTCTAAACCCCCTAAAGCCTGAACCCTGAATATTGTACTACAGGGGTCTTTCCGTGGACTTTGAGTGCAAGCCGGGGAATGACAATTTTTCTGTTCTTGTCGAAGAGGACCAACTTCTACGCTTGAGCGTTCAAGGTTTTGCTGTAGATTTATACCCATCCACATTACTCCAATAAATGCTTTTGAGCACCCTTTTGCTGATCTTAGCTTTGGAGTTGGGGCTTCGTGCTGCTTTGCTCACCTCAACCCTAAACCCAAAGTACCCCTAAACCTCAACACTAAACCATGAACCCGGTGATTCCGACCTCTAGGTTCGGAATTTGTAGGTAAGAGTTCCATGGAGACTTAGCAAGGTCTGCACAAGGGCCGACTAGGGTTTTAGGCTTGGGTTTAGGGCTTAGGGTTTAGGATTTAGGGCTTTACCAGGAGGGTGCAGGGCCTGCGAGATTAGAGCCTCCGTGAGGGCTTCCTACAGCCCACACTCAAGGCAATCTTTGGCAAAGTCTTGTGCTCTCGGGTTTAGGGTTAACCTTTTAATTCAGTCCAGTATCGAAACATGCATAGCCTGTGACTATGTAATATGATCTTGACACGGGTAGTACGATTAACAATACTATGCGTCAGCATACCCCGAAACGCAGTTCCAATCATTGACACTAAGGCCCCTATTTAAAAGAACCCTGAACCCAACACCCTTTTCCAACACTTACAACCCTAAACCCTAAACCCCAGAAGAGCAGAACCAGCGTCATTGGCGACATGGGCCCCATCATCGGTGACATCATGTCCTGCTTCTTGCTTAATACGGTTTAAATAGGGCTTAGGGCTTGTAGGGTTTATAGGGTTTTGGGTTTAGGGCTCAGGGCTTCGGGGTTAGGGTTTACGGGGGGCTTTGCGTGCTTTCTAGTGGATCCCAAAGCGATGCGATTCAGTGCCCCTTCTTGGGTGTATGGGTTTAGGGCACAGGGGTCTCCAGGTTCCCAGGCTGATAATTTCAATAGCGTTTTGGGGGCATATTCTACGACAGCTATCACAAGGGAACCCCCAGTGCGAAAATGGCAACCCTAAGGCTCAAAATGGCCCAAAAGCCTCGTAGAAAATGGTCTTTAGGCCCAGAAACCTTAAAATATGAGTCCTTAGGGCCTTGGGGTGATGGATCATAGGGTTTGAGGATTCTGGGCTTTCCGGTCTGGCGCTTCCGCGCTCGAAACGAAGCACCACAAACAAGAAAGCTCACTCTATCCAGAGGCTCCATAGTAGTTCCTTCTTGGGATTACCATAAAGGATGTTCAATATCAGCCGCAAAAAGGAACTACTATGGAGCCTCTGGGTATGTAGCTGGACCACCCAACGTATGTAAAAGAATGCCACAACAACTCCAAAACGCTAATATTCTACATACTTTAGGGGTCCAGGCAAATACATCGGCTTACTTGCTCAGTGCTAGCGCAGTGTGCTAGACTCTTACGGCATACGTATACAGACATAACCGCACACTACTATACCACGATCCCACCACACGTGATACTATGTGTAGCTCGCACACGCCACAAACACGCCCGCCATTTCTGTCATGTACAGCAGTTGCGTGCATGGCTATCAGCTTTATTCGTGGGCTTGGACGTTCAGATCAAGTGTCGGCATCCTCGCCTTAATCAAGGCCTACCTGGACACTATCAAACCCTACTGTTTGAGGGTTCCTTATTGTGAAGTGCTTCGATGCGTAATTGATAAGGTATGTCATTTGGGTTTATGGTAGGGCCTAGCGTGTGCGCGCGCTGCTCCAGGCATGCACCTAAAGCCCGAAAAGGTCCCACAACATAGGAAAGACATTATAAGCATTCCGAGCATCTCCGAACCAGGTGGGAAAGTCGTCCTTCAATCGATGCAATCCGATACCATGAAAGCTGAGCATCTGGAAGTCGGTGGCCCGTGTTTTTGGCATATTCAGGCTTCATTCAGAATTCCTAGAGCGACCCCCCTCATCTTTGCAGCAAAAGCATCTACACAGTCGTGGTGTGTTTCTAGCGCCACTGCCAACAGCAACCATACCACTAATTTGCAATGTCCAGGCCCCTCTTGTCAGCATAATGGCACCCGTGCCTGTTTTAACATTCTGCGAAGAGACAACTACAGAGCTGCGGTGTCAATTCTAATTCTACTATTGGTGTGAAACAGGACTTGGGGTGAACAAGTTTTGCGTCCCTTTGCAAGTCCAGAACTCACTTCGGAGGCTTTTAGGATTTGGGGTTAACTATTAAGGACAGTAGATGATGAAGCGCAAAACCAGTCAGATGCTAGGTGCACGTCCACAGGTGGGACGGTGTCTGCGACGTCGAGGCCGGCAAGGAACCCGCGATGCAGTTTTGCATGCTAAGGCTTCTCTAAAAATTAACATCTTCGGCGTCTTGAGCGAAGTTAGGTGCTGAGCGCCGTCTTGAACATCTGCTTGCGGCCTGATCAGACGAAAACGGCCTAGGCATGAGTTACTTGAAGACCGAAACTCCTCCTAAACGCCCGGTAAGAAGTTGCCTGTGACTGGGTTTGTAGCGTATTTTTATACAAAAGGGTGCTGTAGTAGGGTCCCCTTGAAAGGGTACTATCAAGTGGGGTCCCCTTTAAAGGGTACTATAGGGTTCGGGTTCTACAGGGTCCCCCTTTTTAGAGCATTGCCATGGGCGTGAAGCTAACACTGTGATCAAAAGCACAGGGGCAACGTGACAGTCTTGTCCGACAGTAGGAGCGGGTTTCCGAAAATAGGGGGACCCTAATAATTCCTAGTTATAGTACCCTAAATAGTAGGATCCTTAGTATCAGGGCCCCAAATTAAGGTACCCCTAATTTTCGGAAACTCCCATGACAGCTCTTCAATCCTCACCCCTAAACCCTAAAACTTACCCCGCTCACCCCTACAGTGTTCCTCATAGCAAGGTAGTGGGAACGAGACCTTCTAAAATCCTGGAGCCTGGTTCCCAAACCCTATAAAACAACAAACTCTCCTAGACCCTCCATCTACCCCCTATTACACCCTAAGTATCCATTATTTGGGACCATATACCCCTATTTGAGGGTACAAGGAGGGTCCTGGCTGACAACCTTGAAGCCTGCATCCCAAACCCTTGAACCCCCAAATCCTCCCCCCTTGAATACTTAAGCCCTTCCCCAGGGATCAAAATAGCCCAAAAGCCTTATAAAGTATGGTCGTTGGGCCCAAAAGCCTTGATATATGAGTCCTTAGATCCCTAGGGCTTGAGCCATGAACTGGTAACCAAGCCTAACGCTGCAACCCTGCATCCCAACGACTATCCTGAACTGCGGAACCTAAGCGCGACACCCTAACTCCCTCATATACCCTCAACCATCCTAAACCCTAACGCCCCACACACTAAGAAAAGTAAGCCCCAAATCCTAAATCCTACACCTCGAACCAAAAGCCTTCAAACTCTAGAACCCATAAACCCAGCACCCTCCAGCGAAAAAACAGAAACATAAGCCCCAAGGCGCCCAAAGCCACTAAGCATATAAACCCTAAGTCCCCCTATGCAAACCCCAGATCCTAACCTTGCCCTGCGGTTGATAATATGAATCCTGCATTCCCCATAATAAGGAAATACGTGAATTCCCATAGTACTAGGGTCCTTAAGATAATGCAGGAGTTATATCAGCAGCCTAAACCCTAAACCCTAAAATCCAAAAGATCTCTTAAAGGAACCCCTTAAAAGTACCCTTATAGATCCCTTTAAAGGAACCCTAGGATTCATATTATCAACAGGAACAGTAGGCCCCCCCATCCTGACATTATTAAGGCCCTGACTGATATTATAGTACCCTTCTAGATCCCTTATAGTAGCCCCTATAGGCACCTCTAAAGGAACCCTATGCTAGTTCTTAAGGCCCCCTCATCCTACTAGTCGGGTATCATGGGGAACTAAAGATTAGCCGCCTTTTTGGCTATTATATGGGGATTATATAGGGACTATACTACCCAAAAAAGGTCATATAAAGGTTACCTACTCTACTACTAGGTCATCCTACTCGCTCAGCCGCCGGCCGCGCGAGTCGGGCAGGAACGCGCCGGGCAACCCAGGATGAGGCCACGGCCTGGCAGCGATTTTTGAGCTTGGGTTTCAGGGGGTGTAGGGTTTAGGGTTTGAAGGGTTTCAGAACTAGGGTTTAGGGTTTAGGGTTTGGGGGTTTCGGGGTTTTGGGTTTCAGGGGGTGTAGGGTTTAGGGTTTGAAGGGGTTTGGAATTATAGGGTGTTGGATTTAGAGTTTGGGGGCTTCGGGTTTGAGGAGTTAGGGCTCAGCTTTCGAGTTTCAGGATTAGGGTTTGGGGTTTTGGGGTCTAGGGATACAAGGGCTTATAGGGCTTGAGATAGTTTAGGATTTCGGATCTGGGGGATTTAGGGTTTCAGGATTCAGGGCCAAGGTTGGGGGGTTTCGGGAAATATAGGGATTTGAGATGGTTTTGGATCTCGGGGCTTGGGGGCTGGTGTTGAAGTTCAAGGGCATGTTAGGGGCAACCTCGGGGACTCGGCTCTGCCTTTGGGGTACGGGTTTAGGGATCAGGGTTTAGGGTTTAGTCCTTAGGGCTTGGGTTTAGGGCTTAGGGATGAGGGATACGGGTTTAGGGTTTGGCTCATAAGGCTTCGGGCTATGGGGCTCAGGGTTCATCAAAAAAAACACCCTACTACGGCTCAGTGATAAGTGCAGATGTCAGAACAAGTGGTAATAATATTCGTTTAGGTAGTCCCGGAAGGGGGTAGGGTGACCATAGTGTTGGGGACCTATATACACTCACCCAATATTCCTGAGGACCTTGATATGCACTCACCAAATCCGTAAAAAGGGCACTACTGACCGCAATCCTTGTGACACCCTCACCAAACAACTATGCCCTTTGTTTTCGGAAGCCCTAAACCCTAACTTGGGCTCCAAACCGCGCATTTGACTCAAACATTCTGGACCCTAAACCCTAAACCGCGCCTTTGACCCAAAGATTCTGGACCCGCTCTTTCAGCGTCGGCTTCGGTGCGTTCTGCCGCCTTTCTGCCTCTTCGATCTCACCTTGGTGGAGCGTTAGGATACACAGGGCTGAAGGTTACATATAGTCTCCATTGTAGTTCCTTTTTTTGGTTTAACCAATTCCATGTTAAGGATCCCAAAAAAGTAACCCCAAAAAGGAACTACAATGGAGACTCTAGGTAGGGGCTTAGAGTGTAGGCTTTAGGAGTCTGGAGTTTAGGAGTTGGAGTTTGAGGCTTCCAGCTTAGGGTTTATTTTTCGGGTCCAGAGTTTACAGTTTCGGGTTTAGAGTTTGGGGTACAAGAGGCATACCTGGGCCCTATAGAGCCTTCCTTTTCAGGGTTCCTTAATTGATCGTGATATCCTGAAATGAGCCCTTAAGAAGGTAGGTTGTTTGGGGCTATGGCAGGATTCAGAGTCTTTGAGTCTGCTAGTTTCATAAGTTGTGGTGACTTTTCTTTCATCCGCCCGCCAGAACTCGGTTGACAATGAGTAAACGTTGGCAGCTTTCGGCCACATGCTATTTGGTAGGGTTCCTTGTAAAGAGATCCATATAGATAGCTCTCTAAATTAGGGTCCCTGTTTTAGGTCCCCAAGCATGGTAAATACGGCACCCTTGTAAAAAGGACCCTACAAGGACCCTAACTTTAGAGCACTACCCTCGTAGTTACTTGCTTCGGGGGTTCGGCTTTTGGCCTTCAACCCGAGGAATCCGAGTGCTTCAGTAGCAGGGTCCTAGGTCCTAAGTGCTCTGAATGCTGTAATTACCAATACTATTCTGGGAGTTCCTTATTTCATTTTTTGCGAAATATACCCATTTTGGGAGTTCCTTATTTCAATTCTTGTATAATATACCCCCCAAACCCTATTCTAGTCGTTGTCGGCAAACTTTCTTTTGGCCAACGGGGCAATCCGCAGCTGCGGTTTTTGCAGGGTTTAGGGCTCATACCTATAGTATCCATTGTAGTTCCTGTTTTGGTTACCCAATTTTACGGTTACGATCCTCTAATAGTAGGTAAGTCATAAGGCTTTAGGGTCTTCCTGATTGCCTTAGGAAGGTGTTTCGGAAGACAATCGGAGCTCACCCTGCTGGATAAACCGCAGTCCTTCTGCCCCACCTCGAGGTGACAATCAGAGGCTGAGCCCTGCATTCCTCAAGCCCTAAACCGCAGAGTCAACAACACCAAAATAGTATTCGATGTTCGCAGCTGCTAGGCGCCATCGGAGGCTCCTTCGTACTCGCAACCCATACTAAGTTACTAGCCTTACTGTAAGCGTGTAAACTTCTACATCCTCAACACGGCGCTAAACTCGCAACACCTTAAGCCCTGAATCCTATACAAAATCCTATGCACGAAACTCCAAAATCAAACTTGCGCACATATGTATACGTGTGTGCAAATAAGTCCATCCATCCATCCGGCCGTCCGTCGAGCCATCCAAACAGACAGACAGACACAGATTCGCAGACACTTACACAGAAACACACACACAAGCCCCTTCATTCCTAGATGTCTGCATATCCAGAATATTTGTGCCTTAGGGCTAAGGGTTTTAGGGGATAGGGCTTGGGGTTTCCCTTGAACCCTGAACTCAACTCAACACCCTAAACCTTAGAAGTTGCCCCCACCCTGTGATAGTGACTAAAAGGATTATATGAGGGCCCTATTACATTCCTATTATACCACAAAAACAGGGTGGGGGCCCCTTCTAACCAATTACATATCAAGGACCCCAACAGGTAACCCCAAAAAGGAACTACAATGGAGACTACAGGTAGGCTCCAGAGTAGCCCCTGTATACTAAGGCTACCCTTTTTCTTACTATTCGGTTGTAGTGAATACCTACTCGGAGGATCATGGGACTTAGTAAGTAAGGTTATAAGTATCTGAATTGGCGTTGTAAGCATAGTTACCCAAATTATAACCCTAGTTACTAAGTCCCATGATCCTTTAAGTAGACCCTAAACCCTAAACCCTATAGATCCCTTTAAGGAACCCTTATAGATCCCTTTAAGGAACCCTTATAGATCCCTTTAAGGAACCCTTATAGATCCCTTTAAGGAGCCCCTATAGATCCCTTTAAGGAGCCCCAAAAGATCCCTTTAAGGAACCCTTATAGATCCCTTTAAGGAACCCTTATAGATCCCTTTAAGGAGCCCTTTAAGTGCCGGAACTGGCCCAAGGCCGCGGCTAGCTCGGCGGAGAAGTCGGTCCCGGCCCTCCATGTCGCCCAGCCTTGGAGATCAGGTTCCCAGACCCCCGGGAGGATCTAGAAAGTACAGTAGATCCCCTAGGGTTCCTTAAAGGGCTCCTTTAAGGGATCCTTTAGGGTTTAGGGTCTAGGGATCTAGTTGATCTATAAGGGAGAGTAGATCCCCTAATTTGGGGCCCTATACTACTAAGTGTACTTTATAGGAACCCCCATTAAGGGATCTACTTTTTGGATCCTCCCGGAGATCAGGTTTAGGGCCCCTGGTACCCTGAACCCCAGAACCTAAAAGGACCTAAACCCTAAACCATCCTAAACCCTATAAACCTTAAAATCCTAAAATCCTAAATCCTAAACCCCTAAATCCTAAATCCTAAAGCCTAAACCCAAAACCCTAAATCCCAAAATCCTAAATCCTCAACCCTACATCTTAAATCACAAACCCTAAACCCAAGACTCCCCCAGACCGTAAACTGAAAAACCCTGGGCTCCTCAGTAAGGGTTTATAGGGGTTTAGGGTTTGAGGCTTCAGGGTTTAAGGTTTATACGGGTATTGTGTTTACGAAGGATGGAACCTGAGTCTAAAGCCTCAAAAAACAGAAGCCTCGCAAGCTCCGAATCCATGCTCCAAAATGACAGATCTGTGGAGGAAAACAGCAGATCGACCTTGTTATACACAGGGGGGGGATCGGGTCGTGGGGGTGTAGTGTAGGGCTTAGGGTGTGTACGGCTTCAGGCTTAGTGGCTTAGTGCAAGATCTGGGTTCAAGGTGCGCAGTGTAAGGCAACTCACCGGGTGCAAGGCTTCTCGCAAGTGTGGGCGATTTCGACCAGGTACACAGCGACGTTCCGATGCTGCTGCCTTTCAAGGCTCAACGGCTTCGGATTTCATGATTCAGGGATTACGCGTTGGAGTTTGGGTGTTCAGTATACTTTTTGATGCTAATGCGGTTTGTACAGGGCTTTAGTAGGATGGTGTAGAGCTTTCTTGCAGCTTTAGTGTTAGAAAGCCCTGAAACCTAAACCCCAAACCCCAAGGAGTCAGGAGCCCGGAGGGGCCTCACAACAAGCAGGACCCGTCCCCAAAACCGAGCCACAGCAAGGTCGAAATCCTACTCCAAAGTACCTTTATAGTAGAATGTAGGGTTTCTATATTAGGGATTAGTATTATGATTTGGGGAAATGTCCTCCATAACAGTACCTAGGACCCTTTGGGTCTCACCAAGGAGTTCTCCGGGTTTTACTATGATGCTTGAGGGGTACTATAAGGTCCTACCCTGACTAGGGTACGTATGACCCGACGCCAGGCTCCAACCACTAGGAGGGTTCAAAAACCTCGGGGTGTAAACCTGCAACATGCCCTGCCAACACCCCTGCGCAACTGCGCAAAGGAGGGTAACATTAAGCAAATCAGATCATGTTTTGTGCGCATCAACTGATCTTAACTAGGAACCCTCTGAAGAGAGACCCGTGGAAGCGCAACTGTTTGTATTCGAACCTACACATACATAACATACAGCAACAATATAGAGGGCTGTATAGTTGTTCATAATATTCCCTTATAATTAGCGCCTCGATAACTGCCATAACCAACCCGGAAACCCGATTCCAATTTTCACGGCCCCTAGATTACTCCGTGCCTGCCCTTTACATTTCAAACTTATTCGAATCCCAAGTAAGTCATCAAAAGCCACTGTGTTCTGATTATGAAGGCAGTGGTCTGAACCACCAAAGGCCCGGTCCCGAACTTGATCTCCATGATCTGGACGGACCGTTCAAGAAGATCCTTCCATTGACCGCACGCTAGTTCCAAGCATCGTATCGGGGAGGTCTGACTTGGGTGGAGGATTTAGAGTTCCAGTGCGTCACAGTTCTTGTGTTCAGGGCCTACGTAATTAGGGCTGAAAGTTAAGCCTTCCAGTGTTCAAGAATGTATTGTTGGAAGCATGGCGGCTACTATGCTTGTTGTTGTTTTGGGATCCTGTCACTTTGCTCTTGAAAGGCGGTTTAGGGTTCAGGGTTTAGGGCCTAGGGCTTACACCATTTTCTAATATACATGGCCAGGCTCCGGCGCTGTTGGGCTTGTCAGGCCTGGTGCTACCTGGCGGTCTAGATTCCGCCGCATGTCATGGTGATCGCAGACTCTTTCTGGGGTCTTTCAAGACCCCCCCTTCCCACCTTCGCAAACCCGAAGCATCGGCAGCCTAAGCGTAGTGGACACCCACAAAAAGACCGCATGCATAGAAGCACTCATAATATGCACCTCAAACAGAACCAAAACATGCCCAACCCGAATCCTCAAAGCCCAAGCCCGAAACCGCCAGGATCCTTCGCAATACACAAGAATCCTTCGCCCTCGGAACCCTTACGAACAAAACCCGCAAACCCTAAACCCTAAACCCGACACCCTTATAAACCCTAAACCCTTAGAAACTTAGAAACCCTAAACCCTAAACCCTTACGAAGCCCGCAAGCTGCTAAGAACACCCTAGGCCTTCTTGCGCTGAAATTCGCCCAGATCTCCGCAGGTTTGGGCCAAGGCCTCAGGTCGCGGCTCGGGATTTGGGGTTGGTCGGATCTCGTACTTTTGAGGTTCTGCAGGGTTTAGGAGTTAGGATGTGGGCCTTACGGTTGTTTCTTTAAAAAATATGTATGTATATATATATATATATATATATATATATATATATATATATATATATATTTGTATCTATCTATCTATCTTTTTCGGGCTTAGAGTTCAGGGTTGGGGGTTTGGGGCGGTCTCCGAGTCAGGGACAAAGGGGCAGCATGTGAGGCTGAGGGGTTCAGGAGCTTAGGTTTTAGGATTCACTGCTTGGGGTTATGGCCTCGAAGTTTAGGATTAAGGGCTTGGGGTTCAGGGTTTAGGGTCTACGATTTAGCAATCTAGGGCCAGGACGAGGGAAACGAATCAAGCGTTGAAGCCTGCGGGGGCCTGGAGCCTAGGATGCTTTAGATGGCTTTACCTTAGGTACTGCCCCCTTACAGTAAGAGTCTATAATAGGGCGACTATTAAGGTGCTAATATATCTATATTATGAATATTATTCAACTATTACTGAGTGGGGGCCGTACCTAAGCTTTACCTCGAGTCTCCATTGTAAACCCTTTTTTTGGATAACCAGTTTTATGGTTAGGATACCATACTAGAGATTTTGGTTAACCAAAAACAGGAACTACAATGGAGACTACAGGTCGGATTTGTGAACCGAAGAATTTCTTCAAGCCGATGGAGTTTAGGAGTTTAGGAGTTTAGGGAGTGTATGCACGTACTGAATGTATCAAGGGGCAGGCAGTCGGGCTTTGCAGTTTACGATCTACTCTTTGAAAGCCAAGGCGTGACTCGCTGACTCGCAGCCACATAAAAAGTCTCAAGCTTGCAAGCTGCAAAATCCTGAAAATTGAAAATCACGGAGGAAACAGGAAAGAAGGTGTTCACTAAGACTGTGAAGAAGAGAGAATGAGCGTGACAGCAAGGGCCGGACTTTGAGAGTGACGCAGGGCTAAACCCCCAAAGCGCCTAAATCCCCAAACGCCTAAACCCTAAAATCACTAAACCCTCTAGTGAACCCCAAAACCTTGGAACATAGATTCAAGATGATTGGTGCTGGGATTCCCCGTACTTTGTATTAAGGGCATGAGGATGGCAATGTTCAAACTTCCTGGCTTCTACTGTAAAATCCGTAAACCCCTGAAACCGCAAAAACCCCTAAGATCGTGAATCCAAAAGCCGCTACGATTCCTACTCGGAAGATCGGCTGCAGGTGCAAGCTGGGCCCACTGGCAGCGAGGATCACACCGACGTTGTAATGAGTGGAGCCTTATTTCAGGTTTAGGATTTGGTGTTTGGAGCTTGTTTGCTTGGTTTTCCTACAAACCCCCTTTTTGTCCGAGGTTTGGAGCGTGTAGGGTCTACAGAGTTTGGGGTTATAGGGCTCTAGTGCTGTAGGGCCATAGGTGAACATGCAGTTTAGGTTTACAGCTGGGTTGAACGGTTGATGATAAAAACCCTGCATTACCTTAAGGACCCTAGATTAGATTATGGGAATAATGGTATATTCCTTATTAAGGGTCATGCAGGATTTATATCCTCAACCGAAGGACGCTTCTCAAGACTCTGCTACCAGAAGGAGCCCTGCAGGGCCTGGAGGACCCTGCAGGGCCAAAATCACAAAGCCCAAGCTTACCGAAGCCCTGAGCAACTTCGGATCTATGGGGTTTGGGGTTTAGGGTTTAGGGGCTTTGGGGGTTTAGGGTTTAAGGGCTTTTGGGGTTAGGGTTTAGTCTCGGATTACGAGCAAAGTGGATGCCACAGGCAGAAATTGCAGCAGCCAGGGCGAGGCAGGTCTATGTATGACAATGACCGTGCCGATAGCAGTGACATACCTGAGCTGAAAGGCCGCTGATACTACGAAACCGACCACGGCAAAGAAGACGACGACGGTGACGCCGACGTCGTGCTGCTACCAATATCGGGGCCGTATTTTTGGGGCCCACTATACCATAATTAGCATAAGGAGCCCCCCAAAGTAGTATTGGTAATGATTAAAGCCCCTACATTATAGTACCCTTATAGATCCCTTATCGTAGCCCATTAAAACAATATATATATATATATATATATATATGTATATATATATATGTGTTATATACTATAGCTATAATAAGGAACGGTCAAAGCCCCTACAGTATGCGGGTCGGAAGAGCGACCCGCCCCGAAGAACCGAGGCTACGGCCGAAGCTTCGCTCCATGATGCTCACGGACTTCTCAAGGAGCTCCTGAACAAATGTGATTGAAGCTATCCATATATGTAAATAATGATGATAATAATATTAGTAACAATCATAATAATGATAATAATAATAAGAATAATAGTCATAATAATAATGAGGATATAAGGAGCTCCTGGGGAAATGTGATTGAAGCTATACATATATGGGTGGTTGTCAAAATTATGGTCCCTTTTGGGGTACCCTAAATATTCGGTGCCGTACTATAATAGGGACCCAAAAAGGGACCATAATTTTGACAACCACCCATATATATATATATATATATATACACACATAAGGATATAAAGAGCTCCTGGGGAAATTTGATTGAAGCTAGCAGGGAGCTCTTGGGGTTACATAGGGTGTTGGGTTTCAGGAATGAGGGTTTAGGGCTTTGGAGAGGCTGCCGGGTTTGTATGCTTTGTTTTCCACCTGTTATGCTCAACAAGCTCATCTGTGCTTTTCTCCTCACCGTTGTTCTGTGGTTGTGTCTGTTTTCCTTATTGCTTCTCGACGGGCTTGTGAGAAGGTTGGAACAAAACCATGCCTATCCGGATTTTGGCACTTTGGCCAAAATAATGGCCCAATACCCAGAAAAGATTATTATTCTACATAATTTTGGGGTCCAGGTATAAGTCCAAATACTAACGGCCCTTCCAAGAGTCGCCTTCTTCCTGTGAAAGTCCCGCATGCGGTCGTAGACCATGCTGAGCCCCGTCAGTGAGCTCAGCCTGTGCAAGGCCCTAAACCCTAAACTCCCACAACCAAACCCTAAACCCCACACCCTAAACCTATACTGAAATTAGAACCCAAGCAAAAATTACAAGTTTAGCTGTTTCTTAGGGATTATAATAAACAAAAATTAGAAATTATTTCTAAATACCCCTAAGAAACCCCAAAACCCCCAAACGCCCATCTACCCTTTGATCAGTTGTAGGACAGGGTTGTTCTTGATGGCTTAGGGCTTGGGTTTTTGGGGGTATCCTGTTTTCTGGGATTTAGCTGGGGTTGAGGACTTTAGGGTTTAGGATTAAGGGTTCGGGGCTTTAGGGATTTGGGCTTTAGTGGTTCAGGGTTCTGGGGTTTACTTGAAGTGATTTAGGAATGAGGGTAGGGTTTCAGGGCATAGGGCCCGTGAGTAGAGTTCAACGGCCCCTGAACCTGAACAAGATGTGAGGGCGATTGCTGGCTCAAGGTTCAAGGTTATCTTCGCGCTTCTTCCACCGGAAGTGACAAGTGGACGTGCGAAGGAGATGTGGCGCATGGACTAGCGCCAGGGTTTCTCTGCGATGCCCAATACGGGCAGTCGCATTGCTACCTTCCATTGGATCATCTTAGGTGCTTCGGCGTCTCGCGTGCATTCGCCTGTGCGTTCAGCGGACCTGTATGCACCCTCGATCCATACACCGATAAAGGTTTAAGTGCTCGGGGTGTGCCTTGGGTTGAGGTTTTAGGATTACCGTGGTTCGGGTTGCAGGGTTTAGTGCTGAAGTTCACGGTCTAGGTTTCGGGGTGGGGTTTAGCTTCTCTCTCCTTCAATAATCGGGCCCAAAAAAGTTTAAACTTTCTAAGATAGACCAGATATATAAGGCTAAAAAGTTTAAAGTTCCCCCATTGGCTATCTAAGGCTTAGGATTTCGGGGTTCGGGCTTCATTCAGCCCAGTTGAAAACGATAAAGGCGCCAACAAAAACACAAGATTCTAAAGAAAAAACCCGGAAACCACCAAACAAGGCAAAACGCCAAAACAAAAGCCCAAGCTACCTGCCTAAGGACTTAGTTTTGGGAACCATAGTCAGGCTAAGTAAGGAAGCCCAAGAGGTGGATTTTACAGGCCCCATCGCTTCAGGCTTCGGGTAACGCCAAACCAAATTCCCACACCACACGCCATATCACCCTCAACCCTAAATCCCACAGGCTCCATGTACTCATATAGTATATACGTAGGCCTTAAAGTACCTACAGAGGGCCCCCTTTAAGGCTTAAGTATCTACTATAATGGTACATGGAGCCTTTGGGAATCCCACAGAGGCCCCTGCAACTCCCAGTGGTCCGAGCCGAAATGTCTCTCCTGCGACAGCCAGGGCTTTCATAAACAAAATCGGAGAATCCTGGACTTTGGGGTTTAGGGGTTACCTCTTTAGGATCCTTAATATGGAATTGGTTAAACCAAAAAAAGGAACTACAATGGATACTTTCGGTAGGGATTTAGGGTCGGGAGTGTCGTGGAACCTATACTGAACTTAGAACCCTAGCAAAATTATAAGTTTAGCTGTTTCTTAGGGTTTATAATAACCAAAGATTAGAATTAGAAATTATTTCTGAGTACCCCCAAGATACCCTGAGTAGTAGGATCCTTAATACAAGGACCCCCAAAATAAGGGTACCCCTAAGGAAAGGCTTTCTTCAGGAGTTATGATACCTATCGTCTCCAGTGTAGTTCCTTTTTTTGGTTAACCAGTTTTATGGTTAGGATCCTATAATGGGGATTATGGTTAACCAAAAAAAGGAACTACAATGGATACTATAGAAAGGATACATAGTTGCCCAAGGGATGCACAACATGCGATAACAGGAATTCCCTTTCTTTTGCCGACTCTGCGTGTCAGCCGCTGAGTATTAGGATCATTGACAACCCCTAAACCCTCAAACCTAAACGAATCATGCTTCGTGGTTTGGATGTTGGGAGTTCGTGGTTTCAGGCTCTCGAGTCCGTGCTATGTCGCAAAGGCTTGCGAAGATCTAGCTGCTCACCGAAGTGCGGTCTCCGGGATTCATGGTGTGTGGGCTTCGGGTTTCCCAAAGGGTCCAAGTACTATTGCAGCAGGTACTTAGTAGGTATATGGGCCCCCAAATTATATACTATACTTCTGCTGGGACCCTTTGGGTTTAGGACATGTTCTGACCTTGATATTCGGGGGGAGCAGCGACGAAGGGCGTGTGACAGGTGGTTTGGATGGGAATCCCGCGACAAACTGGTGCTGGGCCTGGGTGGAAGATGTACACTGCCGGTGCCCGTCAAGGAACCATAAAGGGAACTGAACCGCGTACAAATTCCCGAGAAGCGTTAATTTCTCAGAACCTATGCATACCCATGAAAGCACACCACAGTTTGGTTAAGTTCCGGCTGAAACCTTCCCTTAGAGGCACTGCAAAACAAACGTATTGCAGACCAACGAGCCCTGAACATCCGAAACCCTAAACCCTAACCCGAAAGCCTTAACCCCAAACCGTAAACCCCCAGCTTCACACCCCAAATCCCAAACTTTACGAAACCCGAAATCCTAACCTTATAGATCCCTTATAGATCCCTTTTCTGAACCCCTAGGATTTCCGTTAAACCCTAAACCGTAGCCCTAACCCTTACAAACGCCTGAGGCCGGTGCCTGGATGCTCAGGGCCTTCTCAAGGAGCTCCTTCTGATGATCCACGTTGCCGAGGTCGCCATAGGCATTGCCCAGGCTCACCTGAACGGTTTTGTTTTTTGTTTATGGGCTCTTTTCCGCCTGCAGGTGCAGTTAGAACTCCTGTACTAGGAGGAGCCTATGAACGGGTTTAGGGTTTTGGGGTTAGACGCCCCAAAGTCTACACTCTCACTAGTCAGAGTCTAGTCGCCTGTAGTTGCAGAGGGATCATGAATGCTCAGGCTTTTTAATCTTACGTCAGTTTCGGGTATATTCTCTGATTAGTTTTGGGGCTTTAATGAAGGGCCTCAAAGCTCACATAACTCGTCGTTGGGCGAAGGCCCTTCAAAAGCACTAAAGCCTAAACCCTAAGCACTAAACCCAGAACCCTAAATCCTAAACGTCAAAAAAACAACCCAGGCTAAACGACTGAAACCGACAGGGACTTGTGAAGTCGCGAAGCCCTATTCAAGCACCAGCTCCTGCAAGCTCGATTTGCCTGATGCTCCCTAAGCTCAACCTTCTCAGAACCCCAAATGTCCAAACTTCAACCAATGCAGTGCAAAGCCCTACACGTTTTGAGTGCCGCAAACACTTCACAACACCCAACGGGATCTTGAAGCCTGAAACAGAAGCCTTCCAAAGCAATCAGCTGAAAGACACTGTGCAAACGCCAGGTGAAACTAAAACCACTCCAAAAACGGACATCACACCAACAACAAAACCTTAAGTCCTAAATCGTAACCCAGAGGGTCCATATATATATATATATATATATATATATATATATATATATATATAGATCTATATATTACGAATATGGAACTGCCTATCAACTAAAAACCGCAACAGGCACAAACGGCGAGGGCCCGGACCAACGCTTTGGCTACCTCGGCGTGCTCCGCTCCAAACTCGCGCTGCCTCAGCGACGGCGTTGGGATCCTTTTGGCTTAGGTTTTAGGGTTTATAGGGGCCAAGCGGATAAAGCTACGTTAAGAAATTTCTGTGGCCATGCGCCGGGGCATCCGGGCTGTGTCTAGGTCCATGACTCTCGAAATCGGAAACCCTCCGTCCGTCTGTCTGTCGGTCCGTCAGTCTGTCCGTCCGTCCGTCTGTATGTTTGTCTTTGCCTTTGTCGTTATCTTTCCCTTTCTTCCCTTTGTTTTTCTCTGTCTCTTTCTCGTTATCTTTAACTTTCTCGTTCTCTGCCTCTCTGTCTCTCTGTCTGTGGGTCGGCATGCATGTGGGCCAGTCGTTAGTTTCTGAGCACATGCATTTCTGCTACCCTAAACCTACATTCAGGGTTGAGGATTTAGAGCTTAGGGCTTAGGGTCTGCATGCAACGTATATGCTTGGGGTTTAGGATCTTCTCCGACAAGCGAGACTGCTCTGCCTCGCGATGCATCCTCTTGGGGAAATGTCTACAGCAAAGCGCTTTCAGTTCTTCGATGGAAGGTTGACGCATAAACTCGGGTTTAGGTTTAAATTCTACTCGGATCTCGTTAAACAGCGAAGCCCCCACTGCCTGAACCCCAAATCCTAACTTCTCCCGAAATCCGAAGCCTTATAGTGAACCCCAGAAACTCAGGACATGAATTCAGGAGGATTCTTGCTGGGATTCTCGATACTTTAAAATAGAATGAGAGCATTAGGGGAATCATGTTCCAACTTCCTGGCTCCTACTGTATTGAAACACGATCCCGGCGATTCCAACACCACCTTTTTCAATTAATATACCTCTTTATTCTTACTAGGGCTTGGGTCATAATTTAAGGTATGTTCATCTGAGGGTCCAAGTACTCCCATTATAGGACTTTGGGGTCATTTTGGGTACCAAAACAAAAAATACGGACTGCTTGGACCCTTAGGGAAAGGGTTTTGGGAGGATATCTAGTAATAGATCCCTTTAAGGACCTCCTTTAAGGAACCCTTTAAGGAACCTTTGGGTAATCCTGCGACCGATTCCTTGGGCCCCCGTGCTTGATCTTCAAGGCACGCTCGAGGAGGTCACGCTTTGCCTTCACGTCGCCGAGACAACCGTAGACATTGCCTCTCAAGAGGAGCTTGTGCTCAAGGCTTGGGATTGATTCATGCTGCTTGACACGCTTTTTGGAGGCCTATACTTGCAGGCATTACAAGTAGCTGTATGGGGACCCCGTTGAGGCCTGAGCTTTTACTGCTTAAGTCTATTGTATCCACGTTTAAGCTACCATAATAGGGACCCCTTCAGGCATTTGTACTATGTAGGTGCATGGAGGCTTGTGGGAGTTTCCGAAAATAGGGGACCCTAATATAGGACCCTAAGTAATAGGATTCTTAGTATAAGGACCCCAAAATAAGATACCCCCTATTTTCGGAAACCCCTTGTGGCTTGGAGCCAAAGGCTCAAAGCCAGGGATGGCTTTCTCCATGTAGCGTCTCTGTCGCAGATGACCGCTTTGTGGGACCGGCCAACACACCTTAAGCTCATGAAACTTACCCTAAGGCCCCAAACTAGTTCCTTTAGGGGGTTCATATTTAGAATCCAATAAGGTAATCCCAGAAAGGAACTACTTTGGGGCCCATGGGAAGCAACTGATCAGGGTTGTAAAGGGGTAGCTACACTTATGCTTTACTCCAAACCCTGTTGTTTTACAAAGTACCCTGATCCTCCAAGCACAGCCTCAAGCCCCAAACTCCAAACCACTCTGAACCGCTACACACCTAAACGCCTGAAGTCCGACATCATAAGGCCCCCACAAAAGCACACAAGCAAAAATTGGGATAGGGATATCCCAGCCCATCCCTGAACCCTAAACCCTAAACCCCTAAACCCCAAACCCTAAACCCCCAAACCCCTAAACCCTAAACCGCAGGCGCACCCAGGTTCAGCAACGTGTTGGCCACGGCCCGGTGGTCGCGGCCTTACGGTCTCTCTGGAGCTCTGCCGGAACCCTAAGGTATGTGCATTTAGGCTTAGGGTATAGTGCTTAGGGTTTTCGGGTATACCTTAACCCGGAATAACCTACCTTTTTGAGAGCTTATCTAAGGAAATCATAATGAGAATCCCTAAAAAGCGTAGGCTATTCAGGGTTAAGGTAGGGTTTAGGTTTTGGGGGGCTCTGCGGTTGATGATATAAATCCTGCATTACCTTACCAGGACCGCCCGTTTAAGGGCCCTTTGAAAGAGTCCTTGTGGCCCTTAATGGCTGTTAATAGTGGGTATTTGGGGCGTACTAGAGGGTAGTTGGAGGGTCTAGGTACTAGCCTTTTATAGGTGTTGGGCCATTATCTATTCTACTTTTCCGGGTTTATGTAGGACTTTGGTGATATGGGGTTGAGGAGTTGGGGCTTGTGTGACTGGAAGCCCAGTGTCTAGGGTTGCGAACAAGCCCCACCGTAGACCTGACACCCCGACTTACACTCACAGAGCCGCTTTCTATCACTGTGCTGAACCCTGAAAGGACTCCAAAAAACAAGCCTAACATTGTGAGCTTAGGGCTTAGGGTTAGGGAACTAGACAGTCTTCCTTACAGAGTGGATGGATGAACTTGGCACACACACACACACGCACACACTCGCACACACGCACCTACCTACCTGCGGACAGGCCCAAACCTGAACAGTTGGGAAGCCTGATTGTTAACCTAAACCCCAAAATATGTAGCGGCCTTAATCACTGAACAAAGGTTATTGTGCATAGTATAGTTTCGGTTTATAGGGACTGTGAGTCAGACCGGCAAAACAGCCCCAAAGCAGATGTTGTTGTCCTACGTTTGACATGGGCCATGATAAAACCCACAATGCTACGAAGACGCTGTGAGCCCTACAATCTGAAACTTCAACTGACAACAAACACAGCGTGATTTCAGTATCGTCTGCTGAGCTGAGGCTTTCTCCGTACTCTTGCTCGTTGATCTTCAGCGCACGCTCCAAGAGGTCGCGCTGCGGAGTCGCGTGATGGAGGAAGTCTACGGAGGTGCGCTATAGTAGAATCCAGAAAGTTGAGCCATCGTTATGCTTATGCCCTTGAGGTAAAGTTTGGGGAATCCCAGCACTCATCATCCTTAATTAATTAAATCACATTCCAACTTTCTGGGTTCACTGTAAATCGAAATAGGGCCATTGCGGTTGAGGGCTCAAGATTTGGAGAATCAGATGGAGGTTTTCTGTCTCTGTCTCCCGCCCTTAGGAACAATCTCCGAGCCATAGATCAGCTTGATCTGCTCCTCCTCTGGCGGGCTAGCCCCAACCTTCTCACCCAAAGGGTCCTATGTACCGATATAGTAGCATGTAGTGACGTTTCCGTAGTAGGAATTACTATTATGCCTTAGGGAAGTATCCCCCATAACAGTACATAGGACCCTTTGCGTCAGCAACCATGTCATACAACGTCATCATGTTCTCGCGAGGGTGGGCGTGCAGCTCCCAGCTGCGGCCACCCAGGCCGGTGCAAGTGATCCGCTCACGATTAGGGTTTAGGGTTTAAGGGTTTAGGGTTTAAGGTTTAGGGTTAAGGGGCGATTCGGCCCGGTCGATGTTGAGCATCAACACAAGATCTGCCAGCGAGCGCACCAGTATGCTGGGCTGGACTTTCTTGCAATGCTGGAGAAGGTGCACCTGCCCAAGCTTGCCCATATCACGGATGTAGAAGTAGTTGTACTTGAGATTCTTTAGATGGCTCTCCGCACTGTAGACCCACTGCCTGTCAGCGCTCGTCCTTTGACGATTGGGGGCCAGGCGCCGCCAACTACTCTGCGCGATGGGATCTTCGGGTGTGCTACCACACACCGTCAAATAATTGAAAAGATACATTTGTATATATCTATGAGATGTGCCGGCACTACTTCATGCAGTGCCCATGCTGCAAAAGCAACTCAGACTCCCAGCCCATTAACGAGTTCTACGCTGTGCTCCATTCGCTGCCGGCAAGAACTTGCAGCAATGCAGACACCCTGCGGAGACTGAAACCTTAAAGCCAAGCATTAAACCTCACCCCCAACCCCAAAACCCTAAACTAAACAGTAAACCCCATATCAAGTTCGAGAACGGTTCTTCCGACGTTCTCAGGAGGTCCCATGCCGTACAATACAGGGGGCCTTCGTGATCAGAAACAGTTTTGGATGGCATACCTGAATGCTGACTATAATCAGGAACCCTGGGAATCCTAGGAACCCTGGGAATCCTAGGAACCCTAGGAATCCTAGGGCAGATGTAGTGTGGCTATACTAATGCATGAACTCGGTATTCGGGCTTCTACAGTCCAAGGCTGAGGCTTCTTCTGCATTGCCGAAGCTTCTACAGCGGCTCTCATCGGTAAACACGAAGCCTTCCCAAGAATACCATCTAGTCATGCGCAAAAAAACCCTTCAATTTGAACCGAAGCTTCTCTGAAAACCCTAAACCCTGTACGCCCCTAAACCCTAAACCCTCAACCCGTAAAACCCCTTGGAAGGGCTGAGTCCCGAAGCGTAGAACCCTGCCTGAACCCCTACAGTACGCAGAATAACAGCCCTTTATAGGAGTTTTGCCATTATTTTACATACTTTTTGCGTTTTTTTTTTTTGAGGGCCCTTTCCCTCCCTGCTTTTCGCGGGTTTAGGTGTGCGATAATGAAGCCTGGCCTGTCGTTTCACGTCCCCGAGGGCGCCATAGGCCAAGCTGAGGTTTACCAAACTGGCCGACACCTGCGCGTAGTTCTTTCGGACTCGCATGAAGATCAAGGGTTAAGGCCCCTGACCCCTCAACCGCATAATGTAGGGGCCTTATTCAGTAGAATAGGGTTTTGGGGTCATTATACTATGAGCACATGATGGAACCCCCCACAATAGTGTTGGTAATTAGTAAGGCCCCCTTTTGTTTGAAGTTCTTTGGTGCTTGCGGCTTCCCCAATCCCGAACGGTAAACCTTTGTGGGGTTCGGGATCTGGGCTGTGCTCAGGGCTTATATACACTAAGCCTATTTAAACTGGGCCCTTGAAGTGACCAGGGAGAAAAAAGTATAGACTGCTGTTTCATAATAATTCCTTAAAGGAACAGGTACGAACAAAAGTATTCAAGCATGGTACTCTAGAACCCAATTAAGGTGTCGCAGTTTACTCTGCATTCTCATTAACGAGGTTTGGATTATGTTGTCTCTGTGTTTCAGAGAGCTCTTAACCAATGCTCTCTGAGTGCTCCAGAAACTTTCTTACAGTAGAAGAAGCCAGAAAGTTGGAACATCATTATCCAAAGGCACCTTAAGGTAAAACGCAGGAAATCCTGGCACTAATCTTCCTCAATCCATGTTCCAACTTTCCGGGGATCACTATAATGTAGGAACCCGATTAAGAAACCTTATATGAATCCTACTATTTTGGGGTTATAGGCCCAGGGTTTCTTGATCAGGTTCCTACATTAACGGCTTGTACAAAGGACCGAGGCCAGGTTAGCACATGGTGCTGATGAGGTTCTTGACAATTTTTCGGCGAAGCTCTAAGAGCCTCGCAGACAACACTCAGAGACCTCCAAAATGCGCAGCGCCCAAATCTCTGAACCGGTATGTCTAAACGCCGAAGTGGGCCCCAAAATGTAGGTAAACCTCGCCCTTCCGCGCTAGTGGAGCCCGCAAGCCTTCAGGGTTTACGGCTAACTGAGCTTATGACAGAAGGCGCTGAAGCCCTGGGGCCACACTTCGTAGTATAGGGGCCTTAATAATCAGAATAGGGTTCCTTTAAAGGGGTCGATAAGGGTTACTATAAGGGATACAAGAATCTATGATAGGGTTCTGTAATATAGGGGCCTTAATCAATAGAGTAGGGTTGCGCGGCCCATTATACTATAATTATGTTAAGGAACCCCCAAAGTATTGCAAATCATTGAGGACCCTATATTAACATGCTTGTATTTGGGGGTTCGGGTTTAGGGTTCCATCCTGGGGCTACAGTTTCGTCGCCTGCGCTGTCGAAATTAAACCAAGGACAGCGAGCGCAGGAAGTCACGAAAAATTACCCTCGCTTGGCAAGCGAAGGGATGCCCCACCCGGCATGAAGTTCACTGCTAAGTCGAACTGGCTAACAAGACGACTCGCACACAGGCCATGAGCATACCCCATCATGCCGTTCTTTGTGTGCAGACTCGAAACCATAATACCCTGTCAACCCTGATCCTGTCAACCCTAAACCCTATAAAGCTTAAACCCCTTTACAAGTCTTTGAATGACGGTTTAGGGTTTAGGGTTTTGGATGCCCTTGAGGCCTTGTGGCTGTTCAAGCCAAACTCGGCTTCCATGATCTGCAACGCCCTCTCCAAGATGTCACGTTGCGTCTCATGTTCTCCGAGCCTGCAAGGGGGAGATCGTCGGGCTTTTGCACGGCTTCGATAGGGGTCCATGAAGTTCATGATGTCTTATAGGGCTCTAGAGGAAAAATGGGCTCTGCGATGTCGTATTTAGCTTTATAGACGGTCTAGGGCTAAAACTACGGGCAAATGGAGTGTTTTGGAACTTTGGTTGCGCGGATATCAAGTCTAGGATTGGAGTCGAACGTCGGCGTGTTAGAAAGAGCCTCACAGCCCTAAAAGCCAACATTTCCGGTTTCAAGTTTTAGGGTTCAGGGAAAACTAACCCTGAAACACTAAACCCACCGCAACTCCGGGGCATAGCCGGCACCTTCCATACACGCTGCCGAGGTTGACCAGCGTTGTGGCTACCACGTGGTGGTTGGGACCTCACCGGCCCGGTGGAGGCTCTGTCGGGTTTCCGTGTGAGGGCCCCATAAAGGCTCCTAGAAGGGATCCTCTGAGGGGTTTAGTGATTCAGACGTAAGTCTTCTGATTCTACTTGGAGGGTCGGGGGACTTAGTAAGTAAGTAGGAAGTAGACTTTGAAGTGCCCTAAAAGGGACCCTAATTGGGGTTATGGTACTTATAAGTCCTTAAAATATCAAGTTACTAAGTCCCCCGACCCTCCAAGTAGGGTCCAGGGCTTTAGGGTTCGGAGGCTCCGGGTTCAAGGGATTTTCAGGCTTTGGGATTTAGGCTCGGGGCTTAGACACAATCTTTGGGCTTGATCTTACAGGGTAAATGGGGTTAAGTAGGTCCCTTTTGGGGGCCTGAATCAGCAAAACAGGGTTTTAGGGTATGTCTATAGTATATGGAACTACACTCAGGAACCCTGGCACCAGTGCTGGTGATTGCTTGGGCCCCTATGCTACTTTCAGGGTTTCAGAAGGGTTCTAAGGGCCTGGGGTTTAGTGAAGCCTTCTCTGAGGAGTCCATAAACCCATATGGAAAATGTATTATCGTTTAAGGCCTGAATATGTAGATATACAGATAGATAGATAGATAGATAGATAATAACCGGTACATGGCAAATGGAACCTTGCATCAGTGACAGGATTGCTTCAACAATGTGGATGGCCGTTTGATGAACTCGAAGACATGGTGTTGGTCAGGACAGGACATGGGTCATGCACGTCACAGCAGCACAACTAATAAGCAATCATGACACCGATTGTAACAACGGGGAGCGCACCATACTCTCTCTCGTTGATGGCCAGTGCTCTCTCCAGCAACTCCTTCTGCTTGTTGATGTTGCCCAGACGGTCGTACCTTCAAGACAGTCCGGCTGCGGTTTGGACTTTGTGTAATGTAGCTTCAGGAATTCAGGCTCGCGGCCTTCGGCGGGCTTCGAGTTTCGAGCTTGGAGGTTACGGCTTAGGGCTTTTGTAGTAGTGGTACCTACGGGTTTGTGTTTTCCAGCAAGGGGTTCAAGGCCTTGCGGTTTCGGGCAGGGCTCTATGGTACAGGGTTTCATACCGAAGGCTTTTAGGGCTTTGGGCTTTCGAGTTGGATTCAATCAAGGTCTGAACGGTTGGTGGCGGTAATAATATCCCTCTGAAGCCCCTGTAAACTTACATAAGTAATAACATATTCGATGATGTACCGTGCAACGCCAGTCATAAGCACAGCCCCTAGAAACACCCTATAAACCCCCTGCTCAAAGTCTCAAGGTCACACCGGTAGTTGTCAAGATTGTACGTCGTCCTTCTGGAGAACCCAATGTAATACTACAATTAATACGGCACCCTCCTATAGTTTGGGAACCCAAACGGGGCGCTAATTTGCACAACCACCTAAACCCTATCCTCAACCCTAAACTTCTGAATCCTAGCACCCCAAAGGGTCCAAAATACCGATATAGTAGAATGTAGGGTTTCTATATTAGGAATTACTATTCTGATTGGGGAAGTATTCCCCATAACAGTACTTAGGACCCTTTGGGCACCCACATGACCCCCCGGCGCACGCGTTTCCCAGGTTGGAAAGCGTCGTCGCCACGTCGCAGTGGTCGGGGCCGAACTCGCGCTCCTGGTGATCCCAAGGTTCATGTGGGTACCCATACAGCAACAGTCTATAGTGGGAGTGATTTCAGGTTTAGAGCTTAGGGCTACTGTCAAAACGTTAAGGACCTTAAACATCTATACTAAGATATTCTTCATCTGTTACTGAGTGGGGGGCAGTAATGCAACTGGTTCTAGATGGGTTCTACAGCGAGATATATCAGCAATCGTTCTGGGTTCGACGACGGAGTCTTCGAGAGATTCCATCTTACCCTAGGGATCAAAATAGCCCAAAAGCCTTATATAGTATGGTCTTTGGGCCCAAAAGCCTTAATATATGAGTCCTCAGATCCCTCGGGTTATCGTTGACGGTTTCGGGGTTCAGGGTCGGGGTTTTTTCTTATTAAAGGGAGGGAACCTGAAGCCCTAAACCCCAACTCAAGATCCTGCCAGATTCTCGTAGTGCCCTAAACTCGAAACCCTAAACCGTAGACCCTTATACTCAAGATCCTACTAAATTCAGGGTAGTCCCCTAACCCTAAACCCTACTTAGGATACTGCCAAATTCCGGGTAGTGCCCTAAAGCCCAAGCCCGAAACCGCAAACACTAGACCCTAAACCCTGAACCCCAAACACTATAGACCCTAACCCCTTAACCTCTAGATCCTACCAAAATCTTCCCCACATCATACTAATACATACAAATGAATAATTTGTGTTTCCTACGATAGAAACCCTACATTCTGCTATACACCTACTTACCCTGGGCATCAAAAAACCCAAAAGCCTTATACCTGTTATATAGGATGGTCTTTGGGCCGAAAAGCCTTAAAATATGATTCCTAGGGTTACTCATATATACTCAAGATCCTACCAAAACCTTCCCCAAATCATACTAATGCATGATACACCTACTTAGGACCGCAGAATTTCGGCGTAGTCCTGGATCTCCAGGGCTTTTTCGAGGTGATCCCGCTCGGCGACGGCGTTGCCACAGAGTCCGTACCTCAGCGTGGATCTTGAAGAAAACACTTGGAGGTTCATGGGTAGTTACAAGTAGCGTTCTAAGTCCCCTAATATGGGTTGTAAGTATAGTTACCCGACTTATGACCCTACTTATAACTACCCATGAACCTCCAAGCAAGGTTCGAGGATGTGTATATAAGTTTTCAATTGTTATCAACGAGACTGTCTAGGGTTTTGTAGGGTTTGGAGGGTAATTGAACGGTTTTACGGAGTTGTATAACCCTAGGGATCTAAGGACTCATATCTTAAGGCTTTTGGGCCCAAAGACCATACTATATAAGGCTTTTGGGCTATTTTGATCCCTAGGCCCCCCTGGCGGATGCGGAGACATGGGTGTGGGGTAATTAAACGACATAGATGTCTGGAAGGGCTCAGGGAACAGCAGCCCCTCTCATTTTCATTCCTTCATTATTGTCCTTTGTTCAAGATCCCAACCAAAAGAGTGAAGCAGAATTCCGCAGTCATTCCCTGGGTGAGGAGCCCAAGGGGCTGTGCTGTCGATACTGGAGTCGAAATAGAACAAGTTTTAGGGTTTAGGGTTTAGGGTAGGGATTGAAGCTACTAGCTAACGGGGTGATATACCGGCCAAGCTGTCTTCTTGGACCTGGTGGTTGAGGATGTACTGAAATTCTGTTATGTACATTCCAGGGCTTAGGGTAAATATGTTATGCCGTAGATGTCAGGGTTTTTTGAAGTCGTAAACCCTAAACCCGACCCTTACCCTGGTGGTGTCAAGCGGCGCAACGCCCAGGTTGTGCAATGCCGCGCCCACGACCTGCGACGGACTTTCACTTACCTTTGGTTAGGAGGGAATGGAGAAATGGGGTACAATTATAACTACTATTACTACCATTCTTCCATTCCCTACTAGCCAAATAAGGTAAGTTCAGGACTTCCAGGCCGGTTGCAAAGTCTCACACTCGCAGACTGAAGGGTTCCTAGTTCATGGTTGGGATAGTTTTGAAAATTGACACTTCTGTTCCTTATTGGCTTTAAGTGCACATAAGAACGTACTTTTTTACCCAACTATGACAAAGGTTTATGGTAAAGGGCATAAGCGACATACCCGGCCTAGTCTAAGCAACTCTGACTAAGCATGCCTAGTTTCCACGAATGAACCTTAATCCAAATCCCTGGACAAGCTTCACACAACCCCTACAATGATCCTGAAACAACCTCTGATAAACCCACTACCGAACTAATGAAGAATCCTTCCTATCCCTCCCGACAGTGTCCAGTTTGCCGATAATCATGCACACGCCCCAAATACCATCTTACGTTACCACTAATTAGCCCGAACTCAAGTATACCTTTCTAGAACTGACCTACCCTAACCCCTAAACTACTACAAGCATCATGCTCACCGTAAACCCTCAAACCCCAGAACCGTCATAAAAAATACTAAACAGACACTAAACCAAAATCCTGCCACCACGAAAAACAAGAACAGAACCTAAACCCCAAACCTCTACAACTCACAAAACCAAAAAAAAACGTCCGAGGACCTGACCGGATGTTCCTCTCCGTACCTTGACCGCAACCTCCGCGGATCGGTGGCGGTTTCGGGCTCAGGGGGGATACGGTAAAAGCCAGAAAGTTGGAATAGGATTATCCTAACCCTTCTATGGTAAATTATGGGGGTATCCTACCATGAAACCATATTCCAACTTTCCGGAGTTCCGGGGTTTCGAGGTTCGGGTTGGGGTTTAGGGTGTCGGGGTGTGTGATGTTGTCATGGCGCTGCTTTGGGGTTTCATTATGTGCTTGATTCATAGGGATCCTTAGGGGTGTAGGGGGAGGGGGGGTAGGGGGCCTTAAGGCCCATAATAAGGACTAATAAGGCCGATTTAAGGAAATATAGTCCCCTACACCCCTCCCCCCTACACCCCTAAGGATCCCTATGATTGATACTGTAGCTTGTTTCCAGAGGGCTTTCTACTGCTATTCCGGGTAGTTGATGAAAATTTTGCAGGTCTGCACAGCTGTTACGCATAGAAGGTTCCTTAGCTCCTATAAAGCTGCATAAGGCGTTTAGGGACTCTTGGGGTGCGGATTTAAGGTAGGGTTGAGGATTCAGAAACTTAACTACGTAATTCCTAAGTCAGACCCCTATAAGCATTAACCACTATAGGCTCTAAGCCCAAGAATCATCAACCCGACACGTTCCGAAGTCCTAGAGATTGCCTAAGTGCCTCACTCGGCGAGCGCCACTGTGCCTAATCGCACTGCGGCAGGTCCTGAGGTTCGGGTTCGAGGTTTAGGGTTTGGGGCTTAAGGGTTTAGGGGCTTAGGGGTTTAGGATTTAAGGCTTTGGCGTTTGACCCTTTTTTCGTTGAGGGCCCTTTTCATTGCTTGGCGCGCTAAGGCCGTTTTGAGGTTTGGGTTTAGGATTCAGTGTTTTGGGACTTGGGGTTGAGGGTTTTGGGGTTCAGGGGTTTAGGGGTCCGGTTTAGGGTTTAGGGTTTAGGGTTTAGGGATTAGGGTTTGCAAGTGCTGGAAGCACTCGCACGGTGAGGGTCGACTCAATAGTTCAGCTCGATCAGGGCTCTCTGAGAGTAGATGGGCTATGGCTCACGCAGAAGCTCGGACTTTTCTCTGGCCGCTGACTTGATCTGAAAGCTTCGTTATCAATCAGCTGTTGCACTCGTCACTCGTGAGTGTTCAACAGCACAAGCATGTCATGATGCTTGCATCCCCTCCGATCCCCCAGTAAACATGGACACACACTCGTTTTCTAAGTCCAGTTCGGCTTGCTGCTGCTGCGGCTGCTGCGGCTTGACTTCTGTCTGGGACTGGAGTGGATCCAGGCCTTTTGCTTTTCGGCGCTTGGCCGACAACATGTCTGGATCTTCAACAATCTTGCAAACATTGCCCATGCGGTAAAAGAGCTCCAGTTCCTTAGGACCACCAGCCTTAGTCAGTGGATTACTTAACTGAGCCTCAGAATGGACCCAACGGATCTGGAGCCCTGTGCGTTGCTGGGCTTCCTTCAAGCTCAACAACTCCAGGTTGGAGCGTTTCTCCGCTCCTTTGATACTCAAGACCTCGGTGGCCAGTTTATCGTAGACGTTTCGGGAGTCTGAGATCAGACACCCTACGACCTTAGTGGCACAACCCTCTGGGTCTCGAGCATCAGCGGGACCGTGGATTATTTCACTCCACTGGTAGCGAACATAGAAGACTGTGTCTTCTCCGTTCACCGCTGCCTGAGTCTCTGCTGCGCCTGGGCTCCTACACGTACGATCGATACGGTGGGAGGACCATGAAACTATGCTCACTTTGCCTAACTCACCCTTCAGCAATGACACGGGAGCCAGTCCTATGACCAATCCCTGGGTGCTGCCTCCGTCAGGCCGATTCTGGCTTCCTGCGTCTACCCAACCAAAAACTCCAAGCTCCTCAGTTTCCAAGAACTTGTGTATTCGCAGTTTGTGGTTCTTCCTAATGCGCACGAAATTCAGAAGCTGATTAGCTTTGCTAATGGTTCTCACAGTACTGCTGTTAACCTCAGACAAGAGCAATCCTACCTCGGCCGAAATGTGAGGTGCAACCTGTTGCCCGTGCCAGCTTAGAGCACCCAGGAGTGCGCGCAACTGACTACGCTCCCTCTCCGTCGTTGGGGCGTCCAGAGCCTGCCTCCGCTCACGGCTCAGGGCAATCTCTTTTATTGCGCTCACATAACGTTCTTGGGACAAGGTAAACCCTTCAGCATCCTGTTCTATCTGAACACCACACTGTGTGAAGCATCCGGACTCCCAGTCGCTCCAACGGAACTTCTCTTTTATGCGCCGTATGATGTCCTGCCACTCTCGGTCATCTTCTCGGCCTCCGAACAGAAAATCATCTACATGTCCCGAGACCATGCCTCTTAGTTGGTTGTTGGGACGCCACACCCAGGCGCATGCGTCACTCCACAGCCGTTCGAGGCCCAATGACTCCAGGAACTGGGATACCGTTCGATACCACTCCAAGGGCGCATCAACCAGTCCGTAGCATGCTCGACGTACTCGTGTAATGCTTCCTTCTGGCAGTCCCATTGCAGCGCAAATCTCCTTGCAAGGAATACAATAAAGCTTGTCCGGATAAGCCCTGCCTTGCAAGAAAGCTCCTGAAACGTCTCCTTTATAAACCTTCCATCCTTTGTTGGCCGCTGCTTGCAACATAAGTTGTCTCGTCTGCCTCGTCATAACCGGAGCCGTTGTAGCACGATGTTCATATCCCGGGTCTTGATACCCTAATAAGACAGCCCTGGCCTTCGCCTTTGTCGTGCCGTCGTCCTTCAACTTCCACGTCAGGATCCACCGCATGGAAATCGCTTGGTCTCGTGAGGGTTTTAACTCCTCGGGCAAGGCCTCAAAAGCCTCTGCAGCAATGAAGTTCTTGACCTCAATGCCTTTTGCCTGGCGGAACTCCTCCCGTTCTGCCTCCGACAACCTCTTCTCCGAGACCTCAATGGCACGCCTCTTGAGGTTCCCCACAAAGTAGGCCTGAAGATTGTTGCACACGTCCTGAACGCCACGCTTGGACTCCGGCATTGGAATCTCAATCTCGACTGCCTCATGTGATTCCCTCCAGTAGCTGCTCGTCTGTGGCCAACACTCGTCGGCCACCTCGCTCCACCATGCGTGTCCCTTCTGTTCTGAAGGGTGCTGTGTATAGGCGGCTTGTCCACGTCGTGGTCGACTGCTTTGGCCAGTGCCAAGGTCCGCTGGCTCCGGTGGCTCTTCCATAGGCTCCGGCTCTGCGCGCTTGCCGCGGACTCGGAATCGTTGCGGAACCATTTCCGCCTCCACATCCTGGGCTCGTACCCACTCTCGCTCATCCGGCACTTCTTGTGTCAGATCTTCGTAGCGGTTTCCCCCAATCTCATCTGCCAATCTCGTGTAAGTCCACGGTGTCTCCGGGTCACCATTGCGACTGGCCAATCCTTCCAGAATTTCTTCCCGGGGAGAAGCTCTCCGGAGTTGTTCCGGGCTGCACTTCAGCAGGTTTCTGCCTCGGATGAGCCATATTGCATTACCAGCCCTTTGAACACCAGTCTCATCGGTCCTTCGCTCCAGAGCGAGCACTCGAGCTGGACCCAGAAAGCGTCCATGTTTACTCCCTGGGGATCGGCGGCTCTTAGAGCCATCTTGGGTCCTCCAGAAGTATACTAGCTCCCCTGGTTCGTAGTCCGGGACGGGCCTCGTGCGGGAGTTGAGTGCGCGGCTCCAGCGCTGACTGGCCTGCCAGTCAGCTAATGCCTTTTCGGCCGCTGCTCTCCTCTGTAGTCCTCTCTCAAAGTCGGCAGTCGCGCTTTCCACCAACAGCTCATCTGGAAGTTCCTGGGGTCCTTCTCCAAGTCGTCCCGTCGCGTCGGGGCTTCTTCCAAAAGCATGTTGGATTGGGGAGTATCCCCGAATCTGCTCTCTTTCATTGAAGATACGCACTGCCTGGCTTAAGGCTTCTTCAGACGTCACTGTGTGGTCGGACTCCACAATCTTGCTCATAAGCACCTTGACTCCCTTCACTGCCTGCTCGCATACTCCGATTGACCAGTGGGCATCCGCTGGTATCAAATCTAAGTGTACACCATGCCTATCGCAGAAGGCCTCTACCTCTTGACTCCGGAAGGCGCCTGCCGGGTCGAGCCGTAAGGCTCTGGGCATGCCAAAGATCTGGCTCCACCCCTCGTTGAGGTACTGTAAGCACGCAGCGGCAGTTGGTTGCTGTTTGCTTCCACGGGTAAGGATTCGGGCTTGTCGGAATCTACTTCCTTGGTCAATAATGAGCAGGAACTGGCAGGATTCTCCAGTGTCTGGGTGCGTCCAATGTCCTATGTCAGCAGACACAGCATGCCATTTGGGAGGAAGGACTTCCAATGACGCTAGATGTCTACTGCCCACTTGTTGTTTTTCTTCGCAAACCGAACATCGGAATTCCCTGGCCAACTGAAGAACCTCTTCACTAGCCCGCCTTCTCTTTAACACATCGAGCAAAACCTTCTTACTTCCATGACCAGTGGCAGCATGAAGCAGGTACAGCTGTCTACGGATGCGTTCCTGTCGCTGTTTGCTCGCACTAAAACCCTGACTACTCGAAGTCGCTCCATCCGCTGCACACGCATACTGTCCACTGCTACTTGGCACTCGGAAACCCAAATTTCTCAACTCCTCAAGAACCCCTTCATCAACCCGTGTGCATCCTCGACTACAGTACGTGGTCACTGCGGTTCTGTCCCCTTCCCAGGCCTCGGTCGCATGCCACTGCGTTCCCGAAAAGGAGACCACTCGGTGTCGCGTCGGCCACACCGTTCCACTGATTTCGCGCCCGTCGGGCAACACCTTGCGGCTGCACTTTGACTCTGGAGGGGGCAAGCAGCTTTCTAGCCACAAGCCCCCTTGTTGGTATTTTCCTAGACCTATAATGTAGTTTCGCGTACCAACCAGGTTGTGAGAATCTCGGTGCAAGGGAAGACGGTTGTTCTCGCTGATAACAATAGAAGTATTCTTGAGGTCGCTTCCTATCCACTTCCTCATGTACCCGTTCAGATACTTACACGTCTGGGGAAGGATTCTACTGTTCTTGGTGACTCCGTAGTGGTTTCCGTGGGAGTACAGACCTAGGACCAGGTACTTGGCTTGCTCGGTTCCTATCATCCTACGGTGTTTCTTGATAGGCTTCAGGGAAAGTAACTGCAGGAGTTGTTCGCAATCTTTGTGTTCCCACGCTTGTTCTCGTTGAAGTCTCATGGCTTCTTGCTCTACTCGTTGACAGCTCCCACTCGTCATGAAAGCTTCATCCACTTCATCATCCTCATCATCACCCGAGCTACTTTGTTGTTCACCATCGGGCTGTTTGAGTCCCACGGTTGTTGATTGTAGAACCTCGTGACTGCCACTACACATTCCACATGTGCGCCCCAAGGTCTTCATCCCTACTTCATCACATTCACACACCTCTCCCATGCCGAAACCCTCGGGTAACTTGCTTTCGCCCTGGCATTCCGCCATCACGCTCTGGTGATTGAGTTCCTGAAGCATTGCTCCAACCACGCGCTCGGCCAGAGCCTCCGGATACACCTCCTTTTGTGCGTCCGCTATTCCTTCACTTCTGGCATGGTTATACTGTTTACCGCAACGACAAGGTGCTTCACACAACTGGCTCATACGGAAACAAGTAGTCATGACCTTCCAACCTTGGGCATAGAACTTCTGGGTTTGGGGCTGTCGTAATCCTAAAACGCACGCTCGAACTACTCCCGTGTAAAGTTCATACTTCTTCTGTAGCCTTTGCATCACAGGAAGTCTCCAGGCCTGGCACTGAACCGTCCACACCCAGCTCACATGGATCCCCAACTGAATGCACAAGTGCACCACACAACTGGCTCCTACGTACCTCTTGTGTGCTTCCCGTCGTTCCTGTAACAAGGCTTCTTGCTGTGCTTCAGTTTTCTTCTTCAAACTATGACATGGGGAGAATGGTTGACTGGGTACGGCGATCCACACATGACGCGGCTGTTCAAGTCGGATGCGCTGCATAAGCAGCTTCACTCCGGCTCCGGTGCTGAGGTCGCAGCCATTCCAGGTTGCACATCGTTCAGCACTTGATATACTACCGGTCCGTTGCCGTACCGCTTCAGTCATGTAGCTCTTACAGTCTTCCGTAATCTCCAACAACACCGGTCGCTCTTGTCGAACTAAACCCTCAACTAAACCCGGAACCACTGACCATGCTGTGCTTTCCAAGTTCCTGGCCTTACTTCGACTAAGCTCCACACTGAGCCTCTGCGACGCACTAAGGCACTGACTCGGCACAACAACAGACCCTTGGAAAACTTCTAGGGGCTCTTGGCTACCGGCTTCGGGGAGGTCTTGTTCGGAATCATCGTGTAGGACTCCTGGCTCATCTCGGTGTCCGTCTCGCCCACCTCGGCTGCCGCCTTCTTGCGACGCGGCTCCTTCTTGAGGTCCGCAATCTCCTCGCGTAGGGCACCCACCATCTCCGCCAACATGTCGATCTTGCTGTCCGAGCTGCTGGCGCTGCTCCGTGCCGAACTCGCCTTGGAGGTCGTAGACTTGCGATCCTTCGACTCCGATGCTGGAGGTGAGGGTACAAGGCGTGTCTTGCTCTCCTCCGCCTTTGCCGCAGCCCGCTGGGCTGCCACTTCCACTCGTGCTGGGTTGTTCTCCAGCCACCCTGCCAACCGCAACAGACGAGGGTCGCAATCGGCACTCTCGGTGGCTGTCTGGACCACCCAACGTACATATTCGGGATGATGGATTTTTACCTCTTCGTAGGTGAGCGCCGCCCATTTGCCAAATCCCACAGCATCGGTGGGTTCCGGCACACTGCGCTGGTAGATCCTGTGCATGGCCTCGCGCTTCATCTCGTTCATGGTCCAGTTGGCATTCACGCGCATCTCCAGACTGTTCTGACAGAACTCGATGAGCTGGGCCTTGCGGTTGCAGGCCTGAGTGAGTCCTTGGACTAGGCGCTGGTACTCGGTCTGCTCGCGAGTCTTGCGAGCTGACACGAAAGCATTCTGTCCTGACAGCTCCTCCAGTCGCAACTGAAGCTCGGCCTTGTTCCACCGGGTTGGCGGATTCTCGCCAAACTCCTTGATCTTGTCCCTCAACTGCTGGTTGGTCAAACCGGGCATGATTATCGAGGGTCGAAGGGAGACTGGAGAACGCTGGTTGTGCGGTCTGCTCGAAGCTTGTGGCGGCTGCAGCAGTGTGTGTTGTTGTAGCTTCACCGGATTTAGAAAAACTCACTTTACTCTTCACAGGGGGATCGGATTGTCCTACGTGGTCAGCAGTTCTACTTGCGAGATCCCTGACCTGAAAACCCTGTCCTGATGATGTTGGCTGAACCTCTCCTTTCGCCTCAGGACCGGCGTCGGAGAGGAGTTGTCCCTAGATTGGGACCTGATCGTCTGGCTTCTTCACAAAATCAGACAGCCCAGGTACAGCCTGTACAGTCTCAGCGGCGGATTCAAAAAGGTTCCTAGACAGATCAAGCAACTGATGTCCTGTCGCACTTCTCTCTAGCTGAATCAACTTCTGGCAATCAAGTTCTCGCAGGCACATGAGGTCTGAGCCAAAATCTATGATAGCTCCTAGGGCCCTCAGCGTCGCCACCGAAAGCAGAATCGGCCCTTCTCCCACGTTGAGAGCGTGAACCCGCAACTTGCCATGAAGTTCTCCAGCTCGTAGTCGCATCTCCACTGTCGAGGAACATGTATCTTCACTGGAGTTCCCGAAGTTGAAGGTCGGTCGATCTGTGGTATCCACCTTCTCCACTCCGGCGTCCCCGGAGACGACTGTGTTCCGGCGCATCAAGTGTTCCAGAGCCTTGACGGAACCTATGGAGCGTGTGGCTCCTGAGTCCACCACACACTTTCCTTGCTGTACCGCCACCGCCGTTGGTACTCCGGTTCCCAGGGCGGACTCGGTAGGCGCCTGCTCGTCCGAGGCCTTGGCATATCCCACCATGGGCGCTTCCGGCGCCGGCAGTTTGTTGATCTCCGCTTCCTCCGCGTAGCACACGAAGGGAGCCGATTCCTTGTCCCGCTTGGGGGGATTGCTCGGTGCATTCTTGCAGTTGCTCGCTCTGTGGCCTTTCTGTCCACAGTTCAAGCAAATCATGTTGGCATCGCTCCTCGGACCTTGGCCACCTCTGTAGTACTGACGACTCATCTTAACGTTGTGCTGTTTCGCTCTGGCTTCCCGGAGGGTCCTTCGGGCCTGCTGGAAGGCCGCCATAGCCGACTCCACCTCCACGCCGGCTTCCGACCAGAGGGCCATGCCCTCCTCGGTGAACTCCTCCTCTGCGATGAAGCCGTGGTCCTCGTGAGAAGAGTCTTGCGACTCCTCCTCGCCCATATTCTCGCCCAAGTAGCTATGGTGTTTCCTCGCGGTCTCTCGTCGCTTGACTTCCGAGTCGGGAAACTGGGCTCGGAGCTCGCGTATAATCTTCTGAGTGCTGAAGTCACCTCCCGTGGCTGTGATCACCAGGTTGCGTTCCCCAGCATCCAGGTTACAGTCTTGAAGGAGGATCCACCCTTGTACGAAGTCCGGCATCAACTCAGGTAGTTGAGGCATGGGCTGAGGTTCCTTCCACCACGAGTCATCGGACCCGTATCCGGCAGTGTAGCCCCAGCCCCACTGCCCTCCGTAGTTGGATCCCGACCATGTTGATGCTCTCCACGTCGTCTCACTGGACCAACTGGCTCTTCGGCCAGTGTCCGCTTCCGTACTTCCCTCCTCCGAGGGTTCGTCTCCCTCGGCGGCGGCCCCATCTCGGGTGGGGGGCGTTGTATTCCATGATGTGTCGCCCCATCCTGACTGAGCTGAAGGCTCCCATGCGGACCATCTCCAGTAGGAATCGCCCCACCAACCTGGTCGGTGGTAGTTCCAGTCCTGTGGCTTCGTGGTGGCGATCGGCTTGTGAATGGGCTGCAGTCTCTTCATGGCCTGCTGAGCCCTGAGGTACACCTCCATCTTCTTGGCCACATAGCTGTTGATGGTCTCGCCGGGCTTTCTCCGGCTGTGACGGAAATATTTGTGTAAGTGATCCGTCAACTCCGGAATGCGAGGTTGTCCCAAACTGGCACGCAGGTGGTCCAGTAGCTTTGCCACACCCCCAGGATACGCGAAGGCGCTGGCCTCATACCCTGACAAGGAAAGCTTGGCTGGACCGAGCAGCTCTGAAATCAACCTCGGTGCTACCAGGGCTCGCTTATGATAGGCTGTCGTCTGCTCATACAGTTCGGCAGCCTCGGCGTACGAGACAAAGGTAGCTGCATCCCCGTTCCACACGGGGACTCCCTCACGTGTGCGAGTGAGCTCCTCACTCATGCTGCTAGCACTATGCTGGCTCTTGATGGTCTCCGCAATCAAGAGTTCGTGGTCCCTGGATCTCGAGCCAACCTCCGGACCAGGAGGAAGGCTCCGCTACCATGCAAGTGCTGGAAGCACTCGCACGGTGAGGGTCGACTCAATAGTTCAGCTCGATCAGGGCTCTCTGAGAGTAGATGGGCTATGGCTCACGCAGAAGCTCGGACTTTTCTCTGGCCGCTGACTTGATCTGAAAGCTTCGTTATCAATCAGCTGTTGCACTCGTCACTCGTGAGTGTTCAACAGCACAAGCATGTCATGATGCTTGCAGGGTTTAGGGTTTAGGGTATAGGGTTTAGGGTTTAAGGTTTGTTAAACGTTCCGCGCGCACCACCACGCAGGCGTGTGTTGTGGTGCGCGCAAGTGTGCAACGCTCTCGCCCGACCCGCCCACCCACATCTCAACCTTGTCGGGTTTAGGGTTGTTATTGGATTGAGTGTAGTCCAATCATGTCTTCACCGAAACAATTCTAGCACCAATCTCAACCTTGACAGGGTTAAGATTTCCTTTGGTTGCAGCATGCCGAGAAGCAAAAAAAATGTTTCGAGCCAGCAAAGCATTGCATAGTATATACGTCTCGCTTCACAGTGAGAGATGTCAGGCGGAGGCGGCACCGGTCGCGAGGATTCAACAGACCGCCTATACTATCAGAGAAAGGGCAATCCTGGTGAGCTGCTTCTTTTCCTCGCGAGACATGTCGGTTGGGCTATAGCCGTCGTGCTTTGACAGTACACAAAACAGAATAGTCACCCCTCAAAGCATCGCGTGCAAGATCTCCCGGGTTTTCCTTCCGGCATCTTGCACGATGGGCAGCGCGAGGAGCACCTTGCCGTCGGTCAGGTTCTCAGGCTGCCGGAGTGAAGTGTAGCTCGTTGACCAGGCCTCCGATAAGGAAGTCATCGCGACAGCGAACGCGGCTCAAGGCCGTGTAAGCCGCGCCGGGCACCCCGGGAGCGTCCAGGTATACGGTAACGTGCCGCAATTCGGCTCCTTGAAACTTCAAGATGGTGCTGGCATAGCCGGGACGAATGGGGTAGTACACCAGATCGCCGTGGTCGCGGTCGGTGTAGCGCCAGACGTCGAACGTGTGCCCGGTCTCGGTCCGCACACGCAGGCCCTCGGTGCGGGCGTCGAAGCCTTTGACGACGGCCTGCATGCCGTTCACGAAATCGATGTCCTTGCGGACATTCTTGGTGAGGTACAGCTGCATCCCGACGTAGATGGGCACAGGGAGCGGCAGCAGCTCCGTCACCGGCTTGAGGACGCCGTCCCGGTAGTTGGCTGGATTGACCTCGAGGTCGCCGGGCAGCTCCGCTGCAGGAGTCGAGTGACTGAACAAGGCCGCAACGGCACAGTCGTTGACGTCCTGGGCTCCGCGACGGGTGCAGGTCACGATAGTGGTTTCAGGGTGGGCCTTCAGCAGCCGCTGCACCCCGCGAACCGTGGGCGGGCCCGGGGGAGCCCAAGCCTTTCGGCGCTGCAGCTGGCGCAGCGTCTCGCCGCGGGGCTTGGCTGTGCGCAACTTGTTGAGGAGCATCTGGAACATCGGGTCCTCGCAGCGGTACCCCTTGTGAAAGTCCGTCTTGAACGTGGCTTTCTTCCAGAGCACGGTCCCCCAGGGCCGGATCTCCCCCATGCCCGCCATCTGCCAGCGGTCGCCCACCAAGACCAAGGCCGGGAGGCGGTCCGCCATCTCCCAAAGCCGGATGATGCGGTCCGAGTGCAAGCCGCTCAGCTGAGAGATCTCGTCCACGACGATGAGGTCGTAGTGGGCCAGGTAGGGCATGTCGGTGGCATCGCTGTCGTGCAAGCAGAAAGCAGCGTGACAGGTGTCGATGTCGATGGCACGCCCGTACCGAACCCGCATGCGGCTGGCCAGCTGCGCGGTCGGGAGGGCGAACAACACGCGGCCTCCCTTCTCCACAAGCTCGGCGATGACGTCGTGACACACGGTGGTCTTGCCGGTGCCCGGCTTTCCCATGCACACGAGCACCTTCGCTCCCGCCAGCGCCTCATTCCGCAGCTCGTCCGCGCGCTCCTCCTCGACGTCGCGGTGCTCCAGGCAGCGGGCGATGGCCGCGTCCAGTAGCGCCCGGAACCGCAGCTGCTGCTGGTTGTATGCCGCCGGGGCTTGCCTGCCGTCCGGCTGTGGAGCATGCCGCACGGGCTCCTTGTGCAGGCGCGACGTCTGGATCATGCTCAGTATGCTCGCGGCGACTTTGCTGCTGTGGCCCTCCACCTTGAGCTCGTCGGCTACGACCTGGAGGTCCGCGCCGTAGCCGTGCAAGACGGCCATGGTCAGGTAGCGGTGCTCGGTAGGCACTTTGGCGAGCTGATCCTCGTCGACGAAGTCCCGAACATTCTTGAAGGGCGTGTGGAGCACGAGCCTCTGGCCGTAGTGGCGGTCGCTCGTGCGGGACACCAACTCGGCCGCGACTACCTTCTCGCCTCGGCACGACAGTGCTGCGGCGAAGGCTTCCAGCGAACCCGCCTCTTCTCCCGCCTTGTTGTGCAGCTGGCGCACCCAGTGGGCAATCCGACCGTCCGGCCCGGTTTTGCGGAGGAAGTCGAGGTGAGACTGATGCGGCCGGCGGCCCACGCGGACTCCTGGTACCACCGGACTTCCTTGGGAATCTCTTCGGCGTCAGGAACCGGCACGACGAAGTCGCGCTTGCCACCGCCCTGGGTTGTGAAGTACCATTGCCGAAAGCGCGCCCCGAAAAGCTGCAGGACCATCTCCGGCTCCATGGGATGATAGCGCATCAGGACGGTGGTCGCAATGGAGTTCGCGTCGGCATCGTCGTTCAACCAGTCGTTGGAGGCGCTGTCGGAGAACTTGGACAGGTACTTGGTCAGGTAGTTTCTGAGCAGCCCCGCCTTGTCCTCCCCGATCAAGAAGTCTTGATGACACTTCAGGGCGTCCAGCACGTCCGGCAAGTAGCCCCGCACGCCCGAGTCGTGGTCCTGCTCTCGGTGCTGCAGCCTCCAAGCTCGCAGGCTCACATCCCACTCCGTGGGCTCCTCGTGGACGGTGCGCCCGCTGTCGAGGTGGTGGTCCAATTGGGAGCCCGTCACGTAGCCTGCTATGGGAGTGTCCTCTGGCAACACGGCGCTCGCCACCTGCGGCATGTCGATCTGGCGAATCAGGTCGTCGTCTCCGAAGACGATCATGTGCAGGTGTGGTCTCCCCGACCCGTGGTAGTCCTGGGTGGCCTTCCGACGCGTGCCGTCCTGAAACTCGAGCCGAAAGAAGGCATGCAGCCGGCGCCCGCGTCCGGACGCATCCCTGACGTTGAAGAGGTGGTCCGTCCAGCTCGCCCGTGAGCCCGTCTCGCCCATGAGGAAGCCCCGAGCCGTCTGAGTCAGGACGTGCACGAGGTGCAAGGTTTCCTCGACGGGCAGGTGGAGTCTCTGCTTCAGCATCTTGGCCATACCGTCCCTGACGAACTCGTGGTAGGGAAACGTCCACTCCGACGGTGCAATCGTCTAAAAGAGCTTTGGCAGGCCCACCTGGCGGACGAGGTCCACGAGGCCGTTCGCCACCTTCCGCCAATACAGAGGACTGAAAGGAGAGCCCGACATCATGACCCGCATGGGGACACCGAGTCCCAGGCTCCTTTTGCTGCCGAGGTCGGTCCAAAGGTGAAGATCGTAGATGAGCTGCAGCACCTCGAAGCGCTCCGTGTAGCCGAGGAGGGGGCCGAAGGCGAGAGCGCCAAAGAGCTTCTAGATGCTGTGCCGGATCATGGGGTCGCCGTCCTCGCCGCCGTCCTCCTCCATCGACGACTCCTCCGCGGCTCCCCTGGCTGCGCGGGAGGGGAAGAGGGCCTCCTCGAGGGACTCGGTGGGCTGTCTGGAGCGATTGGAGGCGCGCTCGTAGGTGAAGGTTGTGCGCAAGTCCCAGAACAAGCACGGCCAGAGCGCGCATTCCAGCCCTGGACGCTCGATGAACTGCAGCCGCCGCCGGCACTGCAGAGGCGTGGCGTCCGGGTGCTGCTGCAGGAAGGCGCGGTGCTCGGCATCGAAGGTCTTGTAAGCCGACCTGTCGGACTTCAGCAGGAAGTCGTAGGCGGCCTCGGCCCGCGCCCGCGTGTTCGCGTCGCTGAGGGACCGCACCCGCTGCTTCACGGACTTCGCGTGCCAGCGGAAGCGCATCATTGTGTTGTGCACGCGATAGCCCAGGCCGTGCTTCGCACGCGTTTCGAAGCCGACGTCCACCTCGAGCGGGGCCAAGGCTGCCATGGTCTCCTCGCACAAGCCGCGCAGAGCCAGCGGCACGTCCTCCGGCGAGTGAACGGGGTGGGCGCGGCCGGCGCTGCAGACGTTGCATTGCCTGGCCGGCACGGTGACCTTCTGATCTCTGGTGAGGGTGGTTTGCGTGAGGTCACGCGGCTGCATCTTGCCACAGCGTTCGCATTGGGCCCAGGAATGGAAGAGGGCCCACCGCTCCAGACCAGCGGCTCGTGCGGAGCGCTTCGCCGATGGCAGGCCGGTGCCATTCGAGACACGAGCAAACTTCTGCACCCGCAGGCCTTGGATCCCGGCATGTTGACGTGCTCGGGCCCGATCCGCCAACACCTTTGCGCGGTAAAGCTTCTTCTCACGACTGCCGGCCTCGGCAGATGCCCGCTGCCGTCGGACAAGAGCTCGGCCCCATCTCTCACGGAGCTCGCTGCGAGGCACTTGCGCGGCCGGCCGTCGCCGATAGCTTGGAGCTTGTTGGTGCCCCTGTGTGGCCTGTGTCAAGAGGCTCCGCAGGGCCTGGCGCTGTCCCGCCGGGATGCGGCTGTCCAGCAAGATGGCACGACAGCGCTTCGTCATCGCTCGCATCCGACTCACCAGCCAAGCCCTGCCTTCGGGAGATTCGCAGGTGCGGCTCAGCGTGTCTGGCGCGCAGAACGTGCAGCGGTCCTGCTCTGTTGTCTGCAGACGCATGCGTCCCCGCTGCGGCGAGAAGCGGCACGGCTCGCCATCGAGGCCATTGCAGAATCTGTGCTTGGTCAATGCCAGCTGGAAGTGCTGCCGAAAGTTCATCGGGATCTTATCCAGGGCTTGCTGTCGTATTGCTGAATCACCGATGCGCTGGATGGAAGCCACGAGACATCGACGCTTCGCCCCGTCCGCACAGGCCACGGCAATGCGCTCGGGGTCCGGGTCACAGAAGATGCAGTAGGTTGAGGAAACCTGCGCCCGCCCGCCAGCAGCAGCGAAACGGCATTCCATGTTGCTGCACAGACGCGGCATGTCGACAGGCAGACGGTGGGTCGAGATGGGCGCACCCGTCACTTGAAACAGATGCGCAGACTCGCTAGCGAGGTGCAGCAGGGTCGCATGCGCAGGGACTTGACATGGTCCGTGACTGCAAACTGTAAAACTGCAGCAAAACATTTACCGAGGCCGGCAGTCATACTTAGGTGCGTGCCCCTATGGGTTCGGCCGATGTATGGCTTATGCATGCCGCTCTGTCACAGGCTAGACACTCTTTTCTTGCGCGCTCCGGTCAAGCTGTTCCGTTTCCCGACAACAGGAACGTAGCAAGGTTAGCAAACAAAAGCCAGCGGACCGCGGCACTGCTTTGTGCGTGTATGTAAGTGACGCGGACCGCAAAGGCTACGGCTGCAGAGCCGGGGCCAGGACGAAGCTACGCATCCGGTGCTCGCCCTCATCAGTCAGCGTCGCCATCCGCAGGAGCCGGTGGCACGGGCGCAGCAGCAGCAGCAGCCTGTTTCTGCCAGAAGGCCACACCGAGCCTGAGGATCTTCTGCGCACGGGCCACCACGTCCGGCAGGTTCTTGGGCAACTTCGTGCGTTCGACCTTGAGCTTGAGGTTGAACGCTGTTCGGGCCGATTCGGGCAGTAGCCCGTACACCTTCTTGAAGTCCTGAAGCGTGCCGTTGTTCTTGGCGAAGTCCTCCCATTCGCCCGTCGCGGACTGGATCTCTGACAGCTGCCAGTCTGCAAAGGCGGCCTCCTGGGCCGCCGTCAGGGCATCCTCGGCTTCGAGCGGCTGCAGCGACTCGGAGTCATCCATCGCCGGGAAGGCTTCCGTGGCTGCGGGCGTCTTCTTCTTGGGTGTCCTCGGCGGCGCGGGCGAACTCGACGATCGACGCCGCTTGCGGTCCGTGGACTTGGACTTCTTGGCCTTCTTGCGTTCGTCCTTCTTGCTGACCTGTTTTGCTTTGTCGGCAAGTCTGCTCTTCTTCTCCTTCTTCGTCTTCTTCTTAGCAGACTTGTCCTGCGAGATCGACCCGGAGTGGCTGCTGCCTGCGTCTGGCGAAGGGGAGGACGCACTGCTCCCAGGGCTTTCGTCGGAGTCATTGGCCGAGGGCGAGCCGTCGCCAGAGGAGCCATCGGCCGTGGCCACCTTCTTCTTTCCCTTCGATTTCTTGATGTTGTCCTGGGCGACCTCCACCAACCATGCCTTCAACCGCTTGGACCCGCCGGCCTTGGCGAATGCCTTGGCGGCAGTGTGCTGGTGCTTCAGGTCCACCTTGGAATTCCACTTGTCTGGATGCTGGACCAGCGCCGCTTGCTCGAGGACACTGCAAGAGAGCAGAAACAAACGCGCTGCGTGCAGCGCCAGCCGGCGGCACTCCTTCTTCTTGTCATCGGAGAGCTTCTCAAGGAAGGAGACGTACTTGGAGACGTGTCTCTCCGCGTCCCCGACTTCCTTCGGGCTGTCGGCATGCTTGTTGAAGAAAGCGCAGGCGGCCAGGTAGTCCGCGCCCGCGTCTTTCAAGTGCGTCACGAAACCCAGGCCGATGTCCTCCTGGAGGTATGTCGTCGCGGTCGCCACGGTGCTGCCTTCTTCTGACAGCCAGTTCTGCATCTTCTTGAGGGCCTCGCAGTTGAAGGGGGTGCGGGCTTCTGCGATGTGCTTGCCATTCAGCACCGCCTGCTCAGTCTGGGGGCCGTTCCGAGTAATCCACAAGCAATTGCCCTGCGTGTCCGGACAGTGGCGAAGGAGGTTCTTGGCGAAGCGCTTGAAGGAAGGCACCGAGGACGAACCCCGTTGCGCGCCCTTGCCGGTCTTTTTGGCGGGAGCCATTGACAAGAAGCACGGATGGAGCAAAGGTTGCGAGTGCTTAGCCTAGAGAGCTGCCAACATCGAGCAAGAAAGCATGCAAGCCCACGTCTCGCAGCGGGAGCATGGGCTCATTGTGTATAGATATTTAGGATTTAAGGCTTAGGGTTTAGGATTTAGGATTTAGTCATTTTGCTAAGGAAACCTAATAGAAAGAATTCAAGCGTGCAGAAAAAGCCAAATTCAAGGAAAGACACACACGTATGACCACACTCAAGTGACCGCGATACATGTCAGGGTATGGATAGGTGCAGCCCAGAGGCGAAGAAAATACATGAATTTTCGTGTTCGTCCAAAACCTTGTGCGGCAGGCACCAAAGTCCTAAGGAAAAAACCCAAACCGATTTACGCAGAAACATGTGGGTGACTAGCCGCAAAAGGTTTTGTAGGGAGACTGCGTCCCAACCTTAAAGGGAAAGCAAAAAATGGCAAGAACGACCCAAAAGTAGATAGCGAAAAAACGGGCCCAAAGGTGAAAAGTGACGCCATTTCCGCTGGGAGGGCCCAGGGGCAAGAATCCAAAATTGTTTTTTATATAGCAGTCACTAATGACCGCGAAAGGCGGCCACCCGGAGCGCAGCACAAAACCGCAGAAAATCGTAGAACAACGTGTGTTTGACGTTGTCGTCCCACCATTTTGGTTTGCCGCGACCTGTCGAAAACTATGCACAAACCAAGGCACAGGGAGACAAACCAAAACCACACGCGCATTCAAAATATCGACAACCACTGTCCCGGGGGGGTCCCGGGACAAAGTCGCGGGGGTGTCTCGGGGCGTCCCGGGGGGGTCCCGGGACAAGTGTCCCAGACAACCCGGGACAATGTCCCGGGGGGGCCCTGGGACAACTGTCCCGGGGGGGCCCCGGGACACGCGGAGTTTGCATATGAGAAGTAACTACCTAGACGCGACTGTGCAACTTTTGCGCTCTGCCAATTGTATGCCCGACCCCCCCCCCTCCCCTCCGCTCTTCTGTTATAGCGTCAGCACCACATCAACCGAAACATAGAACGACAATGCCCATGTAATATGCCGTCAAAACGACACCGCTTCATGGGGTTGCCTTCCGGCTCTGGGTGAGATATTGGTCTACCTTCGCCCGCTGCGCAGTGCTGTTCTGCTCCGTGGCACGATTTCCAAAGTTGTCAAACGATAAGGTTAAAGGGCCGAGCCGGCCCTGCCATGCCGAAGGCCCGAAAAGGGCCGAGGCTACTCCCAGCCGTTGCTTAAACCACAACTCAAAAACTGGAACTGTCCAGGGGGGCCCGGGACCAGCGGAATTTGCTTACGAGAAGTTACACCTGCACGTGACGCGCGTGGCGAGCGCCTAAATCCTAAATCCTAAATCCTAAATCCTAAATCCTAAATCCTAAATCCTAAACCCTAAATCCTAAATCCTAAACCCTAAATCCTAAATCCTAAATCCTAAATCCTAAATCCTAAACCCTAAATCCTAAATCCTAAATCCCAAATCCTAGGATGATGCTCCAAATCGTGGGGTTTAGGGTAATCAGCTTAGGAGCTAAGAGCAGGACTGTCGCCTGCACGCAGGTTCACTTAGCTCTAAGCGTCGACCGTCCTCACCGGACAGATCCAAGTCGGCGTCCACTAGGGCTGAAGCCCATCGCGTGGACGCACCGCGACCACCAGTGGGGACGCGGTAGCGACCGCCGCCAGCGCTAGCTGGGGAAAGCGGCGGTCTTTGTTTAGGGTTTAGGGTTTAGGGTTTAGGGTTCCGGGGTCAGGGTCTGGAGTCTGCATCGCTCTCAGGGTCGGCCTTCACGACTAGTGCAACGATGCTGATGAAACTGATAATGGAAAAAGCGGCAACCTCGTTGCTAGGTTGTCTTCAGTATACTGATGTTGTGATGTGCTGCGCACGAAACACTCCAAACATGTGAATAAAACATACCAAGATCGTAGGCCCCGATTCGCGGGGACTCGACTTATCCGGCTGGTCCTTGCCTGCACCCCCCCCCCATTCCACGACGACAGCTGACCACCGGCAAGATGCTATATACTGTAATATACAAATGCTCTTACCGAAGCCGGTTTCAGGTGCGCAAAATGGCAAGATGTGGGGCTTCAGCGTTGATCGTTGCGGGCATAAACAGTGATACTTGGAGGATCATGGGACTTAGTAAGTAAGGTTATAAGTACCCTAATTGGGGATATAAGTATAGTTACCCTAACTATAACCCTAGCTACTAAGTCCCATGATCCTTTAAGTACGAGGAAATGGAGAAGCAACTCGAATTAGGAACCTGGGACCTCAGCCGCTTAACGGCCTGTGGAAAGGTTCAGCTTTAGGATTATATGTGGACTACGGTACACCAACATAAGATTTGGGATCATATACGGACTATAGTATCCCAGAACAGTTAAAGGTTGCCTGCTCTATTTAAAGGTCTTCTACTCTATTACTATATACCTAAGCCCCAAACCCCAGAACCCTACACTCTAGACTCTAAACCCCTAAACCCCCCAAACTTATAAGGCTCAGGGGTTTGCCCCAGCCAGGCTCCTTCGTAGTGGTGTTTGCAGGTCGGACAGGACAGGTCTAGCCTGATCCAAGACTGGTTGGCAGCTCTTACAATAGGCATCTGGGTGATATCACCGAGCTTAATAATTAGAATAGTTATTAGGGTCAATTAGACTATATATATATATATATATATATATATATATGTATATATATATATATATATATATAGGAACCCCCACAATAGTTCTGGTAATTATTTAGGCCCCATAGTACCTCAGCAGCCCGCGATATGAGGGCTTCGGGTGTTGCGGATTTAAGGGTCCAGCGCTGTCGATATGCCTGCTCGGAAGTTGCAGGCACATAAGCGAAAAATAGGATAGGGATATCCCATATAAAACCCCTCAAAAGGAAACCCAATGAGGTAGGGATATCCCGGTAAAATGCTTATGCTTATGTGCTTTTGGGGGTCCCTCCTTAACTTACCCTACCAGAACCGACTATTTTGTAGGGTCCCTAGAAAATCACACTCTAGGGTCCTGATAAGAATTCAGAGGATCGGGGGGGCGATCTGCGGATTTGGGCCTTGAGTCCACGGGCTTTTGGAGTCGGAAGACCCAGATGGAAGTTTCCAACAATTCGGGGTGTACCTTAGTTTAGGGTCCTTCTAGTAAGGATCC